TTCCCCAAAAAGTGGCTTAAATGATTTTAAAGCTATTTTCATAGCAAAATGGGTTATTTTCTTAGAAAATACTTAGAGGTTTCTAATTAACTAGAAAATTTTAGGGAAATTATTTTATGGGTCAAAGAAGCTAATGGATAAGAAAAATCCATTTATGATATTTTGGTTTAATTTCTGGATATATCTTATATTTCAGAAAAATAGGAGAAGGGATAGGATTGGAGAAATAATTATTTTGGAGGGCAAAATGGTCCAGAAATGTGGTAACACACGTGCTGCCTTCTCCTCAAGACATCTGAATCCTTTCTCCATTACACAGCTGGTTATCCACGCGTTCTGATTCACTCCTCTATACATCAGCTGATCACCACGCGTTGCATTTCACTCAATCGGTGTCCAAAGAAAAGAGAGAGTGACGAGACAAACAGAGACAGACCGAGAGTGAGGACGGAGAGCGAGAGAGGGAGAACACGGGAGAAATAGTGATTCAGTGGAACCGGAAGAGCTATCGGGGGCTGTTTTGCTACATGCAATATTGGATTCTGAGTAAGGTGAGTCTCCTAAACCTCCTCCCATCTTTGTTTACTTGGGTTGGTGACTGGTTGGAGCGTTAATGATGAAAGAAGCTTAAGTTTCAGTGAGAGAAATTTTCGGTTAAAATTGGAACTTGACAATGATGATAGCTTAATGCTTGTTGGCCGATGAAACTGAGTTAAATGGTTCAGGGTTGGCGTTGGGTTTTGTGGAATTGAAGTGATGGATGTATATATATATATATATACATTTTCTGGTTGCATGTTGATTCTTACTCTGTTTTAAGTTCACCGAACAAGGATGGTCAATCATGCAAGTTGAGTTTCGGTATTCTTGTTTAACTGGTGTAGGAGTTGGTTGTTTTTATTTGTATGAGGAAACGTGGCTGATATATGCGGTTGCATGTGTGCTTGCTGGTTGTGTGTTCGATTGGCAGAACCCAAGCCCCTGTTTTGATGATTTTTAGCGTTGGAACTCTAGATGAATATGGAAAGACGGTATAGGTGATTAAATGTGTTGGTAGGTAAATATATAAATATATATAGGTATATATTAACATGGCTGTACAGGGCGCTAATAACTTGAGGTAATGATATCTGTTTTTCTTTCTGGTTGTTGGATGTTATATGGCGTCGGGTCTACCGGTTTGAGAGAAGACGAACTGATATATATGTATATAGTCTCAGTATATATAGTAATATATGACTTACGTGGGAATTTACACTGGTTATATTTTATATATAAGGGCCGTGGGATTATAATGGAAGGAAAGGTTATTGAGGAGGAATGTTAAAGTTTGAAGGAATTAGATGGGTAGATGTGTGAAGTTAGAAATGAATTAATACAATGTTAAGTGATTTCCATGAATTTAAGATATGGAGAAGTAAGGAAATAGATTAGCTGTAATAGAATAGATATAATGGGAAGTTTTAAAGATTGAAGAATTGACTTTGGAAGCCTAGAGTTGATGTGGAAATGCTGTCTAAATAAATAAATAAATAAGAGTGTGGTTTTAGAACTTTGATACTCAAAATTTACTAGGAGGAGAACCATGTATGGTTTGTTCTTAAGGTTTTGAATGATAAGTGATGATTATGTAAGTTAATTTGTTATATGATTGAATGGTGAATAGAAATGGTTGAAGCTTGGGGACTTTTGAATTTTTAAGAGGAAAATTGATTAGAACTCTAAAATGTGAAACTTTGAACCAAGGGATACTTTGTTACAAAGTGTTGAGAAATCATTGGATTTTATTGATAAAAGAACTTATAGAATGTTGAGTGGAATGATTTAGCTATTGGCATCCAATCTAGAATTTCTCTTTTAGACTTAAAGTGAAGAATTGTATGGATTTGGAAACTACAGTATGAAGTTAATTAAGCCAAGCCAATTTTAGAAGCAAGTTAGAAGTACAAAAATAATAATTTATACTCTAGCATAGGCGCCTAAGTGTTAGGTATTTGGCATGGGAAGTGCTATAAAGTATATATTTGTGTATGTGTACACACTTTCGATTAGTAAGCTTGTAAGGCAAGGGGATAAGAGTAATTAAAGGCTAATAGAGTTGTTATATATAGTTGTTTTGGAATATGGTTAGAAATTTATCAAAGTGCTGTGACGATGATTTTCAAAACTGGAGAATAATTTTGAGATTTAATATGAAGTGTTAATAGAAAATATTTTAAAGATAGAAGACTTGTGTGTGTATATAATATATTATTTTTGACCAAGATGATCAGTTACTAAGAAAAGTAACTATTTGGGTTGAGATAAAGAGAGAAACTCTCCACAGTAAATGTATTAAATAAGAAAAATTGTCCAGGATGACCAACTATTAAGTAAGGGTAGAGATTGAAAAAGGATTGGGATTTAAAGAGAGATTTCTAATTTATGAATTTTAGTTGGATCAAGCATTAACCTACCCTTACTAAAATAATAGGTTTTGATATCTGCAAAAGCCTACCGAAGAAGCTAAGAGAAAGGAAACAAGTAAGGTTTGATTTTGAAGCAGAAGGTTCAGGTAGTAGTTCTTTCCTACCTTACACTTGTGTATGATTGCTGCATGTCTGTTTGTGCCATATTGCTGTTTAAAGCATGAGAACATGTAATCCTTAATTCCTTGCATGTATTATTTAGCCGTGATCACGTGTAGCTGATAGACATGGGGCAGTGATTGCCAATTATTTGCGCATTATTTATTCAGCTTGTCTATCTGTCATTGCGCATAAATGCTTAATTGCATTAGCTTGCAAGGTTATGTTCCACTTTGGCTTGTTTTGCATGCTTTATGTAATCTGCACATTTGTTTGATGGAAATTACTACTATGGGGATTCGTTCGAATCTCACCCTCCCTTCCTATATTATACAGCTAGAGCAAGCAATTCCAAGAGTAAGGAGGTCATAAGTGCTGAAGGTGGGCTTGTATGAAGAGCAGGAATGCCTGCTGTTTTTGTACCTATAGAATAATTATTTTGATATTTAATTATCTGACTTATTAGATGTTTAAGAGCAAGTAACCCCCACTTACTAGTAATTATGCTATTTTGTATCCTTCTTTAAGGGAGTGTGTACTTTCAGTGCTCAGGTAAGGGTCATTGTCCTGAATGACTAGGGTAGTAACTTATATAATAGTAGTATTATTTTAAATCTGTGTACCTGTCATACGTGCTTCAGAAGTAGGGTTCAAGTGTGTGAATCACTCGTCAGTATTTATATATATACAAAAAAAAAAATTTGTCATTTTCTATAATAGAACACTGGTGTCTAGTGATCCACAGATGTTAAGTGGACCCTACTGGTATATAGAAAGTTAGGTGTTGCAATACACAACTTGAGATTGATCAACCATTGTGTTTCCCTCAACCACCTTACGATGAGAGTTACCATCCATAGCCTTGTCTCTTAGAGTTTGCATTAGATCATTAAGTGCAATGTTGTATTTGTTTGCATCTGCTGCATTAGTATTGTTGCTAGTATAGTTGTAAAAGTCATGGTCCTAGTAAATCCCAAACATTTGACGACTTGAGTATCGAAACATGCACAAATTATAGTATCCAAATGGCTCCTTCTGATATGGACATAACTTTGGGAGAAGGATTGTGGCATTATTGAGGCAATTACGACAAGAATCTGGCTTCACATCTCCTCTGCAAATTCCAAGTACGTTAACTGTGTTGGGGCTTTCACCATAGGAGGAACTGTAGAAGCCATAGTCAATTTTGGTGTCAAAGGTGAAATTAGAAACAAGGGTATTGAGGTTGGTTTGGTAGGCACTTGGTTTTGTGTAGTTACCACTTTCATTGAAGCACTTGTAAAAGAAGTCAGGCTGGGCAGTAAGAACAAGAAGATGAGAAAGGAGTGAGATTAGAGCCAAGAAAATTGCAGCTGTAGTTTTCATCAAGGAATGAATAAAATCTAACAAATGAGATTTGAGTGTGGAGCTTAGGATGCAGTAACCTAAGCTTCCTAGTACAATAATATCCTGAATATAAAATACAGTACAGTTGACAAGTCTGAAGATAAGATTCCAATATTCCTTGGAATACAAGTTGACAAGTCTAAGATAGGAATTTCTAGGAATACAAGTCTTCCAGGGGTTATTTAATTTCTCCATTCACCCTATGGTTTTTCCAAATGGCCAACCACCATATGCAGGTTGGGACGTTTTAACTTTCCACATGCGTGATGCTTTTTAGGAGCTTGGTCTTTTTAGAATTTGCACTAGGGCCAATTTTGTGTTTTGACTTTTCTTTCATTCTTTTTACATAGAAAACCAGATAGAGTTTTCTTTTGTTTTGTTTTTTTTTAGAAAAATGGTAGGAGTATTTTTTTGACTAGTTACATGTATGGTTGAGACTAATTTCTTCAAGATAATCCTCTTTCACACTTCAAAGTAAACAAGTTTTTCCATTCTCTTTTTCAAAGATAGCCTTCTCTGTGTCCTGGGTTGGAGCTCTACCGTTGGTTCACACTCTTCTTTAACATTGTTGTGTTTTTTGCCATTACAAGCCTCCCTCCATTGTTGCCTTCTCTTATTTCTGGGTTAGAGCTGAGCACTGTTGTGGGTTATGCTTGTGTAGAGAGAATATTCATCTTTTTTTTTTAATGTTTTGTTTACTTTTTTTCATTTTTGGAAATGGATTAATCTTTAGTCCCGTATGCTTTAATTTCTTACGATTCTTAACAATGGCTTCCCGAGTTCTCATATGGTAATCATCATTTTGATATAAGCATATTTTTTTAATAATTTTATTCCAATAGAATCATGTTTGGCATAATTATGCAAATAGTCTCCATTGTAATCATTATTCTTTAAAATTGGGAATCTAGAATGTTAATCCTTTATCCTACTTCTTTATTACTCCATATACTGCATGTGATGTGCGAAACAGAATGAAATTGAACCATAGGAAATTCAGAAAGCAATATTTATTCTATCACAGAAAATATGTAATTCACACGGAAGACCAAACCTAGACTTCTATAGAGATCTAGCAAACTGTTCACTAATTGAGGCCTCATTTTTATGCTTGTTGAGCAGAGTTATGTACTCCCTCTCCTTTATCTTCCTCTCTAGTTTGCATCTCAAGCGTGCTGCTGAAATTCATAAAGCATGGAGGCCGTGAAGGTAAAGGGATAGACGAAGAGTAGCTGTTTAGCATAAGTTCAATGGAAGCCATGGTAGGCCTATCTGCTACCTTTTCTTGAACACATAGTAATGCGATGTGAATGCATCTCATTATTTCATCCCTTGAACTATTACTTATCACAGGTTCTACTATATTTGAGGTTGTCCCTTCCCTCCAGATTTTCCATACCTGCAAGAAGTTCCTTATATTATTCCCAATTTACTTTTACAATTTTGTATGGTAGCTAGTTATGGCATCCATATATATAATCTTATCACTCTACTTTTGACAATTAAAAATATATACATAAAGAAGGTAGATACTTACAAAGCTTAAAAGATCTTGTATATCCTCCTCATCAATCATGCTACTATTCTTTTGGCCACTTATAATTTCAAGAGCCAGTATACCAAAACTAAAGACATCTAATTTTGTTGATATTTGTCCATGTATTGCATATTCTGATGCCATGTATCCACTATTTGTCAGTATAAAAAATCCTAATTAAACAAAGATGATATTAAATCCAATAATTTATTAGGTACAGTGTTAATAATTGTAAGTAGTACTTACTAAGTTCCAACAACTTTGCTTGTAGTGTTATGAGTTTGATCTAAAGCAAATAACCTCACCATGCCAAAATCTGCTATTTTTGGATTTAGATATTTATCTAGAAGAATATTACTTGCTTTAAGGTCACGGTGAATAATGCATAATCTTGAATCTTTGTGTAGGTAAAGAATGCCACGAGCAATGCCGACTATAATTTTGTAACTCACTTCCCAATGCAAATGTGTTCGTTAAATTGGATCTGCATAGTAAAGGCCAATCCTATTTAGGTCTATAATCTCTTAAATCTATCTATGTCTAGAATATCTATTCCACTTTTACCCAATATAAGTGAAGAATACAGATACCATATATATAAATCAAAATCATACTTAAAGAGGCTACCATCATCACTCACCGAATAACATGTAATCAAGACTTCTATTGGGGAGAAACTCATTTTGAGTAGCCTTTCAGTTCCTTCTAAACAAAAACCAACTAATCTTCCTAAATTGCGATGTTGAAGTTTGGCCATCAATAACACTTCGTTTTTGAATTCCAAGTCTCCTTGCCCGGAATCCATGGACAGCCTTTTGACAACAACTTCGTGTCCATTACGGAGCCTACCCTGTATTTATTAGAGTTGGGACATGTAATTAATAACATGTTAATTGTTCTAGACAATGTGATTTTATTTGTGTTGATCTAACATTAATGTCATTACGTACCTTATATACTAGCCCAAATCCTCCTTGTCCAAGTTTATTTGCAACAGAGAAGTTATCTGTAGCGAGTCTAACGGTTTCAAAGTCAAATTGCAACGAATCATCAGCTGGTTTAATGCCTTCGTCATCCATTATTTCAGCTTCATCTGAGAAAGAATTCAAAGATGAGTCCCTCGAATGCGATCAAGCAATAAGTCTATGTATGTATGTATGTACATAGGTTTTGTTGAAAAACTATTTTATTGATGTGCCCAAGAAGTGATTAATGTAAATTATAATTACTTCAGTCAAATTGATATTCACAAATAAAATTAAAGGCCTTTTCACTATATAAATATTATAATCAAATGTTTAATTTGCCCAAAAACTCTTAATTTTCTTCCCCATATCACTGTTAGTCGTGAGAGACCATAACCAACATGGCTTTTAATTTCCACTTTGTCGTGTATGGGCCTAGTGGGAACTTGAAAAGCAATCAAAGTTTTAAAAGCTTTCACTTAAAGATATCGAAGAATGTCCTAATATTTAAAACTATTCTAGGGCGATGAATTGAAAGGTTGACATTGACAAATTCCTACATAATAAAAATGTTATTTTATGTATCTTCATATTCTCAAGTCTCAACTTACTTTCAATGGTTTTCTTCGATTTCCTAACCGCAAAATAGATGAAAATCAAGATGAGAAGGCAATAAAGGCACCAATCACCACGGCCACGATAATAATAATGGTTCTTGGTCTATTGTTTTTCCCTGCAAAGCCGAACAAGCTCAAAAGTTGATTGACATGTGTCTTGACCAGACACACAGACAACCAAAATGGTAAAATTACTGAAGTCTAGTTTTCACAATTGCGATTATTTTTTGGATAACCTGCAAATAATAGAACAACGCACATATATCAGACTACATCACTGAGATAGAAGTAGCTAGGTACCTTCTCTGGTAGATGGAACGTTGGGTGAACCGACGGGTCCTGCAGTTTGTTACACAAACAATAATAGAATGATTTAATTAAGGACACCTGATAAATTTATACATTATTAATAATCACTCCTGGACTCCTGTTTACTTCTTTGGCCTTTAACAAAAGACTTATTTAACTAATTTGATTAGATTAACAAAGTTAAGTAACTAGTTAGTCATAATAAATATGACATGTTTTTTCTAAACATCCTAATAATCTTTTTTAATATCCTCCCCTTCTTTCCTACTTGATTGTAGTTGAGGGAATATCAGTAAGAGTGATTTAGATTATTTGAAAAAAATTAATTAATATTAGAAATAGGTCTTATATTTAAGATCAAAATCAACCTTACAATTAGGTCCTACATTAAAGATCAGAGAAGTATAAAGAAAAGAAGAAATTTTTTTTTTAATATGAATCATGGTATTAAATTTTTTTTTACCCTTCATTTATTTTTCTTATTACTTATGGATATCTTTCAATTAAAAGCAAATTGTGTTTGAGACACGGTTAGGCACTAAATATGGGCACTTCTCCTAATGAAAATTTGAACATTGGTTTGCCATACTATGAAGAATTAGCCTCTTTCACTAAACCTAATTATTTGTTACTGTGTACATTTTGTATTTTTTGGGTTGGGTATATATTAAATAAAAGTAAAGTTGCAAAGTTATAAATTTTAATATATAATAGAGTTAATGGGAGTTTGTTATTAAATAGAGGTAAAACATATTAGAAGTAACCTTAAGTAAATTTTCTTTCTTTGCCTTATAATTTAATAAGGTTCTTTCTATATGTGCAAGGCAAAGTCAGAGAAATTACTATCCCAGAAGCATCTCTGCAAACGAATGTTTTTCAATTATCAATTTGAGCATACCCCATCACAAACATTAGTATAAGTCTAAACTTTCCTGAGTGATTTACATAATTAAGGTTGAGTTTTGAGAGATACCTTGTGACGGAGTAGTAGTGGAAGGAGGAGGAGGAGATGCAGATACTTGTATTGGATCAACAACATTACGATCATAGAACCGGTTCTTCTTGAATCTGAGATTGCAGTTCCGTTTGATAACCCTGCCTCCAACCTTGTTCTGACAGCAAATTGGGATATCTGATATCGCCTTTTCCAAGCAAGCCTCGCAGTTTTGCTCGGTCAAATCAGGCGTGCACTGAGCAAGACGGTGTACATATTGAAACGTCGCTGAGGCGTATCCAACAGCCACCTTGCGACAAGGACCACCAGCTGCAGCTTTGGTCTTAAGAGCTTGCATTAGCTGATCAAGCACATCTGTGTACTGGTCGGCATCTGCTACATTATTTGGATTATGAATTGCATCGTAAAAATCAGGTCCTGATACATCCCAAACATTGAGCTACTTGAATATTGAAAACTACACAAGTCATAGTATAGAAAAGCCTCCTTCTGATTTGGACATTTCTGTGGGAGAAGACTCGTAGCATTACTGAGGCAACTGCGACAAACATCTGGCATAAGGTCTCCTTTGCAGAGTGCAGATGTGTAAACTATGTCGGGGTTTTGGCCGTACGAGGAATTGTAGAAGCCATAGTCATCTTTTGTGTTGGAGGTGGAATTGGAAAGAAGGGTTTTGAGGTTGGTATGATAGGCACTTTTGTTTGTGTACGTTCCTTTGCCATTGAAACAGGTTTGATTAACATAAGGTCGGTCCTGCTGGGCGGTGAGAATAAGAAGATGGCAAAAGAATGATAGAAGAACCAGAAGATTATTGGCAATCAGCGTCATTACTAGGGTAAATTAGAACTGTGATAAATGAAAAAGTAAAGCTTCTCAAGCAAGATGCGATTTTTGAGTATTATTGATGAGCGATGAAGGAGGCTTATTAGTACAATAATAACCTCAACATCTTTATGGGACACAAAAATCAACAAGTCAACGAAAAGATTCAAATGAGGGATCTTGCATTTTGTTCCATATGTTTGGTTATTTTGACACGGCAATTCATCAAACGCCAACAACTATTGTGTCTGTGGTTCCACTTCCACACGGCCTTGTAGTAAAATTCTGATACACGAATCATCTTAATTAATATCCAACGCGTACGTGAACGAACTACCAATATTTCCATCTCTGTTATACTTGAGAAAGAATTGTAACTTCTGAAGAAGGTGAAACTTTGGGTGAATCAGCAGGTTCTGTGATTCAACATAAAAGGTTTCTTTATTAAACAATTTCGAAGGGATGATTGAACTTAGAGCTCTTAATTCGCAGAAGATTGTTGCTATTAATTACCACCTTGAGTTTATCCAATCACACACTTCAGATAGGTAAGTCAAATTTTTCTAAGGGGACTTGATAATATATACTCCCTCTGGTTTCTATTATAGGGCATATTTTAGAAGTTTTTTTTTGTCCCGAATACAAGTCAGAAAGTAACTCAATACTTACTTTTCTTCTCAATTTTCCCTCATCATTAATTACTAAGGTTTAGTGTTTTCTTGATAAAGTCCTCATAATTGGTGCTTTTTATCTACATTTAAGTAGAGGTAAACTAGGTAAAAATTATTAATTTAGGACCAATTTAATGTTTTAACTTCCAATCTTTGGTATGCGAGAGTTAGTTATGAATGCCTATAATAAGAACCAGAGGGAGTATGTATATAATAAAGCTTACTATTTGAAATGCAAAATAGAAGTATTACTAGGAATACAAGTCCACAAGTCAAAGGATAAGATAGGAATCTTCTTAGAGATTTCCAAAGGGTTATTTAATTACTTACATTGGAATTTAAATGCCATATGCATGTTATGTTCTCCATAATTCACACTGTGTTTTTGTCCACATGGCCAGTTATGTAAGGATTGGGACGTACTTTTTAATTTTCCACGAATCAGGGGTTGATTAAAAGTATGCAGAGGCTAATTTCTTCGAAGAAACTTCAAAGCAAGTGATTCAAACTAATTTCTTCTTCATTCATCTGAATGGATCAAGAAAAATAGTTATCAATAAGATGTTGATTGAGGTGGTAAGCAGTCTCATTTCTATAAAAAGAAAAACACTAGTTTGAATATCAGAAAGCATAATTGTTGGGAGTGCTTTAACCTTAACACTCCTGATTTGATAAAAATTAGTTTCAGGTCTAAAGTAACTTGGAAAGACTTTAAATTTATATTAAAAAATAAAAAAAATAGTTAAACTAATTATTTATAAAAAAGATTAGTTATTTCCTCTATACTCGTTTGGTTACTTTAATTTGACACGGCATCTCATCAAAAGTCAACAGCGTCCTCATACGAAGAGACAAGAATAGGACTAGGAATAGGGGAACACAATAAGTCTCCCACTTTTTTTTTTTTGGCTAAAGCATAGGTATTCTCTTATTGGAGGCAATCCTATTCGAGGCACTGTCGGGTGCTAAATGTGGACACTTCTCCCAGCAAGAATTCAAACTTTGATTCATCACGTTGTGAGGGATTAGTCTCTTCCACTAGACCTAAATCCCATTGGTATAAGTCTCCCACTTTTTATGTCATAAAATTCCAAAAGTGCCGAACGCCCATGCGGACTCTTGATGAAGGCCTAATATTTCCATTTTAACACCGGAGGTAATGACTAGAAGTCACAAGTACTCATAAGTAGACAACAATGTGGCTCGCCTTTAGACTCCTTCTATTTATCACAGCCATAATATATTCAAAAATTATCTCTCTGATTTCATTTCAACAATTGATGTATTTTTTTTTATACTGAGATTTAAAACTTGAACTTTTGTCTTTGAAAAACTTCAACTAATAAGCTTAAGTTTTTGTTAGGTTTTTATGTTCAAATCGTTCGAATACCACTGTCCTGATTAGGAGGTTTATAGAAACGATGGCGCTTCTTTATTCGTGCCTGAAGTTTTTATAACAAAAACACATGCAGAAAAAATTATCATATACTCCCTCCAATCCTTATTAGAAGATTTAGTAACTAATTTGTGTGCATTAAAAAATTAGTTAAATTAGTTCATTGTAATAAATATGTGAATTGGTTTTTCTGGTATTGGGATTTTAAAAATATCCTTTTAAATCATGTTTTGCATTAACTCCTTATTGTGTGCCACGGATAGGGGATATTTTGGGGAAAAAATTATCATTTGAATTACAAAATATATTGAGGTATTATATTTTAGACTAATAAATTTCTTGTTTAGCTTATATATTTAGGACCAACAGTAGCACTGTGTAAGTACCATATGTAATTTATGCGTTTAACCACCAGAAACACTCTTAAGGAAAATAAATGACATAACGTTGTTGATAAAATGATATAACGTTGTTGAGTACGCAATAATCACTCATCCCGCTAACGGATATTTTTGGTTGGCTTTTTTAATACACCACTGGCTCTTCTTTTAATATTTGTACATCCTTCCCTGGCAATATAAATTATAAAAGGAGAACGATATAATTAGATCTAATTAAAATTTCAATTTAAATATAATTATGTACTAAAACATTTTGCTGTAAGTTATAATTATTGATATAAGTAATTGTTAATTTATTACGATTCTTAGTTCTAAAAATCACCAAAAGTGAACTGTGTGATTTAAATATTTTATATTTGCAAATAAGATTTCAATATTTGTGACTATTTAAAGTTGACATTTTCAATTTTTTTTAGAAAATTTTTTCTAACTATCATTAAATTAATTTTCTATATATACGACCCAAGGGTTATATACCCCCACTTACAAATCACACCCTAACAATTCCTCAAATTTCGATGAAATCATTGGTGGAGAAAGATAATGAAAGTGTGTTCATCACTCTTCCCCATCGCCACTTTCCTCTGATTATCTTATCTTTCATGTGGCGAGAATTAAAAATGAAATTTGTGATAGTAATTTATGACGCAGATCAAGAAAAATTTGTGGCAAAGATTGGTCCATCACAATGGAGCCATTGCAAACTTTTTATGATAAATTTGTAACTTTTCCATTATAAAATTTGTCGCACAATTTTTGTGATAGATTTGCAATCGACTTTACAGTGAAAAATATTTCATTGCAAATTTGTTATATATTTTTTGGATTAATGATGAGGATTAAAAAACACCACGAGGAATGGAAATTATTTCCTTGTTTTGGCGAATGCTCTTACAAAACTAATATAATATATATATATAATTCTCATTTTCATCCAGCCTATATATCCAACATAAATGAAGCGGTAAAGTCCAATCCAAATCAATCTTTATTTATTTAAACAGAAGAAAAAGACATCTTCAAAATATTATCAAATAATCCTCACTTGTGGAAGAGGAATACAACTGTGGTTACAAACAGAGATTCAGAGAAAAAGCAAAACCCCAAAAAATGACAAAAACTACAAATAATAATTAAGTATTAAATTAATTTTATTGAGAACACAGTCCTAATCCAGTAGGTGTTGTCTGCTTCCAAAGAGAAGTAATATTAGTAAATCGTGGTGAGGGCACCAATTACCACGGCAACGATAGCGACAATTCTTGAGGTTTCGACGCTGTTTCCTGAAAAACCCAAACAAACTCAGAGTGATGATTAACATATTCGTGAAGTGTATTATGAGCAAATTCAATTTGTGTGTGTGTGTGTGTGTGTGTGTGTGTGAGTGTATTATATTATATTTCTATAAGTCTACATATTAGACCATGTATATTGATCAAAATAGAATTGTACCTTCTGAAGCTTTGGGTGAATCATCAGCAGCTTTTGGTGAATCAGAAACTCCTGTGATTCAACGTAAAAGGTTTATATATTATTAAAAAAAAATGGTAGGGCAATTTCAATAGATGCTCTTAATTTGTACAAGGCCGCTGTTATCACCACCTTGATCTCATCCAACCACATAGATGGGTGAGTCAAAGTTTTCCAGGTGAACTCAGTATACATATATACATACACCTGCAGGTGGTGAGGAAGTTGCTCTGCTGGACGGAGCAAGAGCAGGAGGAATTGGAGATAATTGTATTGAATCATAGAATTGGCCCTTTTCAAATCGAAGATTGCAGCTCAATTTGATAACTCTACCACCAATCCTGTTCTGACAACAGATTGGGATATCTGAGATAGCCTTTCTTAAGCAATCTTCACAATCTTGCTGAGAAAATTCAGGCGTGCACTGGGCAAGACCAAATACAGTTTCATTCGGAGCAGCTGTTGCATTTCCCATGGCCACCTTAACACGAGAGTCACCAGCTGCGGCTTTGCCTTTTAGACTTTCCATTAGATCATCAAGAGCCTTGGTGTACTTTTCTGCATCTTGTGCTTTTTCTGGGTTGTTAAAATAGTAGGAAAAGCCATGATCTTGGTAAATCACTACTAAAAAACATCTGATTAGCGACGGAATTTACGGACAAAATTTTTATTTAGTGACAGAATTAGTGACGGATTAGTGACGAAATCATATTACAGACAGAATTAGCGATGGAACTGGTTCCGTCACTAATTTTTTTGTCACTAATTGGATTACCGACAGAATTGAAATTCCATCGGTAGTTACAGACGAAATTAGCAACGGAATCAAAATTCCATCGCTAATATATTTTTTTTTAAAAAAATTAAAATGCCACTTACCTTCGCTGCCACATGTCACCACCTCATCTCCACGTGTTGCTATTTCACATGCCACCTTGTATTGCCACATGTCGCCATCATATAATTCCTCCTCAAAGTGATTTTTCCACGGCTCGAACCAAAAACCTCGTTTGTGCACGCGCGCGACTTCACCAGTTGAGCTGCAATGAACTTACTGACTTATTATACAAAATTAGATATATATATATAATATTCTCTAACACAAATAATTATATATACACAAATATATTATTAGAAACTAAAAATAAACTATATGATAATTTTAATCATAACTGTTTTTGTAACAAAATAATTTTTAGATATTTGTTTTACTATTTATTTTATAATGATTTATTTTTTAAAAAAATTATTTTAAATAAAATATTAATTTCCAACAACACTAATTTTGAATTTTAAATAGTAAATAATTTTTTCATAAATATATTTTTTAAATTTAATTCTTTTATTTAACATTCATAACATATATAATTTAATTATATATTTATTATATTATTATATTATATTATATTAAATATTATATTTTAGTCACAGAATTAGCCACGGAAATTAGCGACGGAATAATTTTCCGTCACTAATTCCGTGGCTCATGGAAAAGTATTCCGTCGCAAATCTTAGTTATAAAATTTTAGCCAAATTCCGTGGCTAATTTTAATTATAAAATTTTAGCTACGAAATTTTCTGATGGAAAAAATTCCGTGGCTAATTAGTGACGAAATAAATTCTGTCGCTAATTCTGTGGCTAAGTTTAGCGACAGAATTTTCGTGGGTAACCCATCAGAAATTAGTGACAGAAATTATTCCGTCACTAATTCCGTCGGTAATTAGCTGTTTTTTGTAGTGAATCCCAAAGATCGAATGATTTGAGTATCTAAACATGCACAAGTCATAGCATCCAAATGCCTCCATCTGGTTGGGACATTGCTTTGGGAGAATCATTGTGGCATTTTTGAGGCAACTACGGCAAGTTTCAGGCTTCACATCTCCTCTGCAAAGTCCAATTGCATTTACTTTATTAGGATTTTCACCATAAGAGGAATTGCAGAAGCCATAGTCAATTTTTGTGTCGAAGGCAACATTAGAAAGAAGGGCATTGAGGTTGGTGTGAAAGACACTTGAGTTTGTGTAGGTTCCTTTGCCTAATGAACAATTGGAATAAACAGTGGCGTTAGGGTGCTGGGCGGCCGAGAGAATGAGAAGATTAGAAAGGAATGAAACAAGAGTAGCCAAGGAAATGGTAGACTTTGTCATCATTATTGGGATCAATTGTGAAAAATGAAACAAGGAATAATAAAGAAGCTTATTATTATAAGAAGCAATTCGGGGGTAATATTATTGATTGATGGTGAGCGATATATGCATGAGGAAGGAGGCTTACTATAACAAAACAATCCTCAACTTCTTTATAGCTCACAAGTCAACAAGTCAAGAGGTTCGAACATTTCTATTCTAGCTAGGAATACAAAGTTTTGTACATGGTCACCAATTTTTACTTTTCTCCCTCATAATCTGCAGGTTAATTATATGCCCACAACGTTATCATGACGTGTGTAGGTAGGAATACAACTCTTGGGCATAGTGTTAGATTTCGAGATCGCCCTTGATGGTGATGAGGTTATTTTAACTAGCATTTTTTTTCTAGATTAATATAATCTTTAATCTCTCAAATTTGTTCTCATTTTAGTTTTGGTCCTTCAAATTTCAAACTATGGATTTTGGTCCCTTAAGGGCAAAATGGTCCAAGTTTTTATTGGATTATAGAGACCAATACTTTAAATAAAATGAAACTTAAAGAACCAAAATATATAGTTTAAAACCTGATGGACCAAAATCAAAATGAGAGTGAACTTGAGGAACCATAAATTATATTAACTCTTTTTCTTAATTAAAATCATGGTTTAGAGTGTAATAATGAAAGTGGCAAATATATTGTATCCAAAATATCCTTATCTTCTTCCTTTCAAAATGCATGAGCCATTGTTACCCCGAAACCACTTTTTTTATTGTAAGGACACCTTATTTATTTTAACATTGGTTAACAATAATAATTTTTTTATTAATTTTAGTATGATAATTTTAAATTTTTCTAATATATTTTATTATTTGAAAATATAATATAATTTATTTTTATTATTTTAGTATGTAAATATCATATTAGCTTATATCTTTTTTCATAATTCAGGTAAAAAAAAGGTGATTCTTATTACAATCATCTAGATATGTTCGAAGTAGGTAAGTGAGAATAGTTTCATTTCAACTTACGTGAAAGTATTTTTTTTAAATGATTATGAGTGTTTTTAAATTCTCAAAATAATTTTTTTACCACGTTTTTTTCTGAATTTTTTTTTGATACGCTGGAAAGGATTTGTTTTTTCTTTTTTCTAGGTTGATGGATTATTTAGAAAGAAAGGCTTCTTTGTTCAGCCAAAAAATAAAAATAAAAAAGGCTTATTTGAATTGGCTTTTTCTCCATCTAGCTTTGACAATAAATGCGCCTATTGTGATGAGCGGTGGAGAAATCAATAATCATCATTATTGAAAACCAATGACTATTTAAATTTTAATACTTCTCTAAGAATTATCACATTATATATATAATATAAGTGTATCGTTTAATAAAATTTATATCCTTTTTAATTGTTTTACATATAAACTTTTTTTTTCATTAATCATTTAAATAAGCTTCAGTCTGACAAATTAACTTTTCTATAGAGTCAATCTAAATATAAATTATATTATACTAACAGATTTTTATTCGAATTTAAGTTTGCAAGGATCAAATAAAATAAAAACCAGTTTTATCACTAATAATCCACACACACCCTTAGACTTTTCGGTAAAGCTAACTAAATTGGTAACTTGGGACAGATCTAGCTGTCTAAACTCAGAAGAAGTCAAGTAGTTGAAGACATTGGGAAGTCGTTGAAGCCATCCATGTGAACGCATGAGAAACTTCAAGGAATTCATCTGCATGGGGACCACACGCTTCAATGTTAAGGACCAGATACATGTAATCCCTCGTAACAGCGTTTTACAGCATTAATCATGGTTAGGTATGCATTCCCCATGTTTGTTTAACCGGGCTTAAGATAGTCTTGTCAATGAATAAACACATTTTTATATGTTCGTTTTAAAAAAGTTTCTCTAGACTCAATTTCGTTGAAGTTTCAATAGATTTTAAGTTCCGCATAATACTACCTTGGTCCTAAATATAAGAGTTAATTGACTAATTTGAATAGATTAAGGAAATAAGTTAAATTAGTTATATGTAATAAATATGTGTTGTATTTCCTAAAATATCCTTACTAATCAAGTTTATTTTCTAGAACTACCATTATTAGAAGGACTATCTCGGGAAAAAAATAAATAAGTATGAGAGACAAAATAAACTGATATCTTATATTTAGGACCAATATAAAAGTCAAATAACCAGAGATAGTAGTTGCGTTTGTTCATGCTTCGTAAAGAACTTCCCACATAGCCGGATAAAATATTATTCCTACAAATCATTAATAAAAGATTAGGTCTTTTATTTATGTATAATAATATTCCTCACCTGTGGAAAAGGCCATATTGTGGTTAAAAAAGGCGATACAAAAAAAAAAACCAAACATGACCAAAAAAAAAGGGAAGAAGAAAAAAGACAAATGTTACCGCTAATTGTCAAATGTAAATGGGTTAACATTGAATTTTGTTTCGGAAATTTTCACGCAGAAGTTGCGGGCAATGCTATTCTTTTCGAAGAACTTCCGAGACTAATATTTATGCCCACATTGAATCATATATGATATAAGGTCCAACATGATATACATCTCCTCGGATACCATTAGAAAAGGGCGACATTTTTCCTATTTTAATGCTTGCAGAGTAACATTGAATCCAAAGAATATTGAGAGAATTATAATGAGATTTCAAGAAAGAACAATAATTACTAAAAAATCTCAATAACAACCCAAACAATATGTCATGACAAGTTCCTGAGTAGAGAATCATAACTTATGAGACTTATTTTGTAATTATTTTTCTTTTTGGGTATTTATTATGATTCTCCCAAGAATATTCTGAATACTCACAACTTTTACGTCAAAACTTTCAAGATAAAATTAGACATTAATTCATAATAACTAATTAATTAAGTGTGACGAAGTCTTTTATTAATTAAGATTATATATTCATAATCCAATAGCTGTTGTTTCCTTAAGTGTGGTAAAGGCAACAATTGCCACAGCCATCATAACGACGATTCTCGATGTTCTGTTGCTATTTCCTGCAAAAGCGAAACAAAGAGATAAATGAATCAAAACTTGAACTTAATTAATATCCAGGCAGATATACTTCCACCATTTAATTGTGCAATATATTAATTTAAACACATTTTCTTGTGCACCCTATTTATAAATTTAATCCGATAATAAATAAAACTTTCTATTGAAATTATGAATTATAATTTCACTAATTTTCAATAATTTAATTATTTATGTGAGTTATAAAATCTAATAGTATGATACAATATTTTTTCGGTTCTACGCCTCCAATGCAACTCATCCAATATGAAATAGATTTAGTAAATGAAGTGCATATTCGATAACCATCAAAAGCATAGTTAAAATTATTTGAATGCTTCAATGGCTAAATTTTGTTTGTTTTACAAAATTTAGTGTATTAGTTTTAGATTTGTAAGCACAACATTTACAATGATATAGAGATTAGCATGAAAAAACGCACGAGACATTCATATATTATTTTGCTGGGTCAAATTGTTCACGAAGGCCTGCGCATAAATTTCTATCCTTTTCTACTTTTCAACAAAATTTGATGGCTAAAAAAAAAAAAATCATATCAAACCAAACCCGCCACATTTACATTGGATGACATATGGGGAGAAAGGCCCAGAAAGCATTAAGCCGTGTGCCTTTTGAGAAAGTGATTAAGGTAGGTTAGGAATCTTGATTTCTTCAAAAAATTACTTTTTAACATCCCTAAATTAGCCTTAATTTCAACTATTGATTTAATTTCTACTTTAAAGTTATACATCCCACCCAAATGAACCAATTAGACGTGCAAACATCTTAGAAATAACTCATAAAGGTTTCACTAAATTTTAGAAATTGGTCTATACTAAGGACGAAACAATTTTTCTGAAAGGTGTCTTATATTGAGCACAACAATGAGTTTATCCTGTGTTCATGATTAGAGAGAATTGGTACCTTTTGAAGGCGAAGATATGGGTGAATCAGCAACTCCCTTTGGTGGATCAGCAACTTCCTTTGGTGGATCAGCAACTGCTATGGCACAACATAAAAAGTTTACTTGTTAAAAAGCAGTTTCAAAGGGAAGATTACACTTGAGCTCTTTGTCCTTAGAAGATAGTTGTTTTAATCACTAAGATGGGTAAGTCAAATTTTGCTAGGTGAATTCAATACATATAAATTTTAGGATACAAAATATAATGTAAAATTACTTAAAATAAGTTAATTCAAATTAAACACTATATATAGGACCTGGTGAGGGAGCTGTAGCAAGAACAGCAGACGGAGATTGTATTGGCTCAACAACGGCAGGATCATAGAACATGACGTTGTCAAACCGAAGATTGCAGCTCAGTTTAATTACCCGACCACCAATCTTGTCCTTACAACATCCTTGGATTTCCGAGATGGCCTTCACCAAGCAATCGTCACAATCTTGCTGAGTCAAATCAGGCGTGCACTGAACAAGACCATACACACTTTCATTCTCATCAGCTGTTACGTTTCCCACAGCCACCTTACTCAGAGAATCACCACTTGAAGCTTTGCTTTTTAGCCTCGTCATGAGATCATCAAGAGCATCTCTATACTTCTTTGCATCTTTTGCTTTTTCTGGGCTGTGAATCGCGTAGGAAAACTCAGGATTCTGATACATCCCAAGAATTGAAACATTCGAGTATCGAAGAATGCACAGATCATAGTACAGAAATGCCTGCTTCTGATTTGGACATAGTTTTGGGAGAAGTGTCGTGGCATTTTTGATGCAGTTCTGGCAAGCATGTAGCTGGGTGTCTCCTCTACACAGTGCGAGACCATTAACCGTATTGGGGCTTTCACCATAGTAGGAATTATAGAAGCCAAAGTAGTTTTCTGTGTCGGAGCTGAAGTTAGAAAGAAGCATATTGAGGTTGGTGTGGTAAGCACTTTTTTGTGTGTAGGTTCCTCTGTCATTGAAACAGGTGTGATTAATGAAGTCCGGATGCTGATGGGCGTTGACGAGAATGAGAACATGAGGCAGGAACAATGAAACCAAAGCACAACGAATGAGAGAAAATTTCATGGTTGTTGAAATTTAGGATTTGCTATTTAGGAATCCTATTTGGTGAATGATATGGGAAGGATTACTCTCAACTTTATAATCCACTAATCGACAGCTCAAGGAATATATATTCATATGTGACTAGGAATATATACAAGTCTTGCACTAGTTCGCTCATTACTCATAAATCTTGCTTTTAATTTGTTGTCAAATCTATACGGAGTTGTGCATATGGCTTCTTTCCTGGGATGAGCATTTTTATGAGGTAAAGAAATGTAAACGATGTAAGATTTAAAAAATTAATTAAATTAACTATTTGCAAAAAAAAGTGCCTTGGTTTTTTTTTTTTAAGATATCCCTTCAATTATTTAAATTGGAGATAATTGATGAAAATATTTCTTTAATATGTATAATTAATAGGGATAATTTAAAAACTATAAATTCAGAAAATAAAGTAAATACTTTTTTAATTTTAAATCAAAACAAACCATTTAAATTAGTGTGCTATCAAAAGTCAAGTCGTCCAAGGGTGGGCCCAACCAGCATGAGGCCATGAGATGAAGGGGCGTAAATTACGCTTTGAAAAACAAGACGAATTGCAATAAGATTAAAAAAATAGTTACTAAAAAATCTTAATAAGAATTTAATAACAAGTGTTAAAATTAAAAGCGATAACTTATGAGATTTATTTTGTAATTATTTTTTAAGATTTTTATTGTAATTTTTTCAAAAAAAATAAAACCATATATTTAATATATTAAGAAATAAATTTTTTTCTTTTCATACTTGTATTCTTCCTTCGTGCTTGCCTATTTATGGGGTAGTTGGGACCACATATTTCCGAAGGAACAGGACAGACCACACGGTCAACACGCGTGATCCCTCTTCTCCCATTAATCAAAGGCGGACCTCCATGTTTTAATTTTATGTTCAGACTTTAACCTTTTTTTATATTTAAAAAAAAATCAAAGGCAGACGTGGCAAGATTTACCCGTGGGGTAAAATTTGTAACAAATATTCTAAAAAAATATGATTGCAAAAATTTATTATCTTGACTTGACCTGGGAATACAGACATATTGACTTAGGTTGTCGTCCCATAGCTCAAGGCAAATAGGCTGAAGAGAAACTCTACCTTGAATTGGGCGTCAAGAAAAGTTAGGAGAAAAAAAAGAAAGAAGAATTATCATAAGGTTTTAAGCAAATAATTTAATTATTAAAAAATTTCAATAATAAGTGACTAGTATGAGTATATTGTTATTTCCTATATTATTTAGTTGTTAATGATCTTGAGGATAATTAAATTCTATTTTTAAAATCTGATTGTAATCCTCCGAAAAAAGGTAAGAGAGAGACAAATGGAGGAAAAAAAATTGGGAAGGAAATAGGGCCCCCACTTGTCTTTACACTCATGTTCTCTTTCAATTGACGGCATTCAAACTTCATTAGTGTTTAAAATTGACGACTACTTGCCTCAATTGGTCTCCAATGAACTTATTGTATAGTGCGGAATATACAAGAGAAGCTAATATATTCTCTCTCTATTTAGGTTACCTATTGTTGCATAGTTTAAGAAGTTTAATCACAATAATGGCCACTATAATGCTTATGATTATAGTGAGATATGTATTGATTAAATACAATTTCAACCATTTATATTTAAAATTTTGAACTAATAATTTTTAAATAATTTTTTTAAAAAGGACAATTAAAAGATTAAATGAATTTTTGTAGTTAATTTATTAAATTTGTTTTAAATTATTTGTTTCAATTTCACTTGTACTAAATGAAATTACAAAGAGAGAGAGAGAGAGAAATATAAAGAGTCACATTATGTTAGCATTAATTGTAAAAATAAAATAAACAAATAAGCATTAATTACTCCCTCTGGTTCAAATTATAAGATAAAATTTATTCATTTACATTTATTAAGAAATTAGAAAAATAAAAAATATAAGCCACATATGCTTTATTAATAAAGAAAATAGTAAATTAAAAGATGCAACAAATATATCAAAGGAAAGAAAATATATGAGGATAAAATTAAAAAAATACATTAAATGCTTAGACAAAAGTAAATGTTATCTTATTAAAAAAAAAAATCCCTCCAACAAAATTTAACTCATATTTTGAACCGGAAGGAGGGAGTACTCATTATTTATATCGCTGATCTAACTAATTTTGGCAAGGGACTTATGTTGTGGTTAGAAAGGAGTACATTAAAATAATCGTTTCAAAAAAATAAAAGTAAAAAATAAAATAAGATAAAATTCAATTTAGATCTATAGTGTGGTTTGTCCACAACTACCACTTTGAGTCGCATTCAACCATCACTAATAATGAACGTTGAGAATTGACGAGTCCTTGCCTCGATCTCCAATAAACTTATTGCATAATGCTAAATAAACAAGAGAAGAAGTCAACTAAAGACGCCAATACAGTCTCCCTCCATTAATGTTACTTCTAGGCTCATCTTTTTCCCCTTTCCGTCTGATTCCTAATGTCTTCCATTATTCCTTTGATTCTGCTTTGGTTCCTTTCTCATCTTACCACTCTCACCGCTGAGCCTCCCGACTTGAGATATAAACGCTGCTTCGATTCAAGAGGTAGCTACACAAAACCAAGTACCTACCGAACCAACCTTAACATCCTCCTCTCAGATCTCACTTCCAACACACAAAATGACTACGGTTTCTACAATCTGTCTTATGGCCAAAACCCTGACACAGTAAGCGCCATTGGGTTATGCAGAGGAGATGTTAAACCAAACAAATGCCGATCTTGTCTCAAGAACGCCTCCATTCTTATCCCCAAGTCTTGCCCAGATCTGAAGGAGGCAATGGGAGGCTACGATGAATGCTTCCTACGATACTCGAACCGACCAATATTGGGTGTCATGGAATACGATGTTTGGATCAGTTTGCCGAACCAACAAAATGCTACAGAACCGGGCGAGTACTATGAAGCGGCTAAGGAGTTATTGGATGGAATGAATGGTAAACTAACTGCCAACAGAGTTTCATCTGTTCGTAAGTATGAAGCAGCAAATAAATCGGGTCCAAATTCGCAGACTGTGTTTGGTGTAGTTCAGTGCACTCCTGATTTAACTGAGGGACGTTGTTCAGACTGTTTGGCGCAGGCGATCGACCAAATCCTGCCATGTTGTTATACAAACACAGGTGGTCGGGTTATTATGCCGAGCTGCAATATTAGGTATGAGAATTACCGTTTCTTTGATCTTGTGTCTGAGGATTCCCCACCACTGTCTCCTCTTTCTCCTTCAAAAGCCCCCAGCTCATCAAAAGGTATGTGTCCATCAATTTGGTGGTCTCATTAATTATCAGTTTGCTTGTGTATTCAGAATTGTCTTTTGTCTTTCCCCTTTTTAAGACTGCAAAATGCAGTCAATAGATTAAAGCTAAAATGTTAGCAAGTCATGACGGTGTATGTCAACGATCTGTTCAGTCCTCAAAGCTAAAATCTGAACATTACCTGAGCTTGTTTGGATTATCATTGACAAAATTGATTTTTATGCTTATGCAAAAGTTGAGATAAAAGTCGATTAGTATGTGATTTATCTCAACTAACTTTTCAAAGTTGTTGTTGAAAATCGTTGCCGAAAGTTTTTTCTAGTAGCATTTTCATAACCGGATGGTCTCCCACCTTGTGATCTTGAATTGTATCTTCACATTCATATAATCATCTTCCAATAATCAATTAATATTATGTTAGTCTTAATTCATGGAAAATGTGCTTGTAACCAGTATAATAATATCGAAACTATTTTATAGTATGATATACAATGTCATATCTGAACAATTGACCAATGAAACCATCACTAACATATATTTAGCTTTTTCAGGGAATAATAAAATATCAAGAACTACCATTGCTGTATTGGGGCCAATTGTTGCAATGATCTTACTGTTCATTTCTATCTTCATTTATTTTAGATTGAAGAAACCTAAAGAAACATATCAAGGTAAGTCAAACTAATGATCTCTTCAGTTTGCTCTTGTAATATTCTTCTTTAAAAGAAAATTATTGTGACAACTAATTAATTTGCTTGAATTCCTTCCCAGCTGATGCTGAACTTCATCGTGAAATTATACTTTCTGAACCATTGCTATTAGACTTTGAAAGCATCAAAACTGCAACCGATAATTTCTCTGACGCAAATAAACTTGGGCAAGGTGGATTTGGACCTGTTTATAAGGTAGAAAAACAACAATATCAAAATGAGATAGACCAAATTCACGACTTTGTAGAAAGTCATGCATACTAGATATATAGCTTCCAATTACGACAATTGCAGGGTAAGCTCTATAACGGAGAAGAAGTGGCAATCAAAAGGCTGTCCAGGAATTCTAGGCAAGGAGATAGAGAATTTAAAAATGAAGTGATGTTGTTGGCCAAGCTTAAACATCGCAATTTGGTGAGACTCATTGGCTTTTGTTTGGAAAGAGGAGAGAGACTACTCATGTATGAGTTTCTTCCCAATAAAAGTCTTGACTACTTATTATTTGGTAAGAGACATAGGTACTTTCTTTAATCATTGCTATAGCTTTATTCATTTGTGTTCTATCACTTTAATTAAGTTTGATTGAATGATCTATAAAGGATTGTGCTGATTTTATTAATTCTTTGGGTTTGAGATGTAAAGATATATACATGCAATATATTCATCATGAAACAAGAGGCAGTATGACAATGTAAATTTTTTTTAACCACTATAGTCATTCGGTTCACTGCTAAATTTTTGCTTTATTGAATTCTAAGATCACATAAACATGGAGTTGTAGATCCAAATCACCAAGCGCAACTGAATTGGGTGACACGTCACAAAATTATCGAAGGTGTAGCTCGTGGTATCCATTATCTTCATGAGGATTCCCGACTACGAATTATTCATCGTGATCTCAAAGCAAGTAATATTCTTTTAGATGGGGAGTTTAATCCCAAGATATCAGATTTTGGCATGGCTAGATTATTTGCTATGGATCAAACTCAATGTGATACTAGTAGAATTGTTGGAACCTAGTAAGTATAACAGGTTTAAATGCCTTATCAAGAAGAAAGAAACTTGAAGATGATTATCATGAGTAGCAACCTTCATTTTTTAACAAAGCTTGTTTATATCGACATGCAGTGGTTATATGGCCCCAGAATATGCAATGCACGGACAATTTTCAGTTAAATCAGATGTTTATAGCTTTGGTATACTAATCCTAGAGATTGTTAGTGGGAAGAAAAACAGTAGCTACTTTCATGAAGAGCATGGACTGGATCTGCTAGGCTTTGTAAGTCTTTCTCCCCTTTTAAAACTCTCTCTCTCTCTCTCTCTCTCTATCACACCCACACCTCTCCCCCCAATAGAATAGTAAAATTGTAAACTAAAATTAACTATTGATGAGGACAATGTTTCAGGCATGGAAAAATTGGAGGGACGGAACAGCCTCAAGGATAATAGATCCAGTACTAAACAATAGTTCAACAAATGAAATAATGAGATGCATCCACATTGGGTTACTTTGTGTACAAGAAAATATAGCTGATAGGCCAACCATGGCGTCCGTTACATCGATGCTTAGCAGCTACTCATTTTCTCTCCGATTACCATCACAGCCTCCATTTTTAATTAGTAGCACAAGCTCATCAGAGAAGAACTTTCACGAGAACAGTTCATCAGGGGCAACAAGATCAACTAAAGGAGGAAGGAATAACTATGCTGAATCCTCAACAAATGAAGTCTCTGTTACTGAGATTTATCCTCGCTGATTAAATTTGGCCTTGCAGATGACTGTCAAAGATCAATTGTAATTCATGCCACTAAGTTATGCACATGAAGTAATTGGTTGAAAAGTTGAATTATGCAGCAGTGAAATTATTTCTTACTGTGACGTGTAGACAGAAAAATAAAGAGCGTTCCCACTATTGCAAAATACCACAGTACAACAGCAAAGTGTCGGACACAGAAATGCAAATGAAAATGTAATTCTTAAATTACAATAAGCAATGCTATACTCTTGATTCATTAGCAAATGGGATTCATCTCAATCTCCTTGTAATTCTCAGAAATAATTTGCCTAGCTATTATAATATGAATAAAATTTATTAGGTCTGTTTTTTTTCACGATTATTATGTCAAGTTTTTTTTTTTTTTTTTGACGATATACATTACAAGAAGGTAGTGAAAACCTATTAGGACAAAAAAGAAAAAGACGTAAACCGCCTAAGCAATATCCTACAATCTTCTATTACCAACCTAAGTCCAAGTGTTGTCGAAATCTGATGCAGCAGAAACTTGAAGACCTTACTATCACGTGATTGTAGCTGCAGTGAGTATGCAAATAATTGATGAACCATAGACTGACTAGAGATAACCAACAAACCCATTTTAAGAATATGAAATTCTCCATCCACCTAAGCTTTGGTGGTGGAATTGGCCGCCTAAATGAAGTAATATACCCATATGAGAAGTAAATATCTATTGAAAACCACCTTGCAGTGGAATGTGAGGAAGATCTACATCCACTGACTGTAATTATAATTTATTATGTGTCTCATTTTTTTTAAATATCATTATTTAATAATAAACTCAGAAAAAAAGGACATATGATAAAACGTAATTAAAGAACTTGACATGATGGTAAGAAACTTGACTATTATCCTCTGTTCAACTAATTTGGGTTGATTTAAGGAAATTTAATTAGTTATTTGTTAAAGATGTGTTAATTTTCTTAAAATACTCTCTTAGATCATTTTGATTTAGGCTGTTTTTTTGATGCAAACTCTTTTAACATATGAAATATAATATATAGGGTTAATTCTTTTGGTTAAATCAGGAGACTGAGGTCTTATATTTGAAATTCGAGTCCTTTCAAAAGCCTTTTTTATCCTTTTCTTCTTAAAATCTCATCTTTATTGTTGGATTAAATAATAAATATTTTAGATTTATTATTTTAAAAAGTAGATATCTACTTTCTCTCTTTTATTTATGTAATATTATAATAATAGTTTTATAAAATATGAAATCTAAACTATTCATTATTTGATTTAACAGTGGAGATGGGATTCAGAGGGGAAAAAAAGGGCGAGTGTGGGATTCTTAGAGTATCTCCTCCCAAATATCAAGGGAGAAAATGTGATGACTATTCTTTTAAAACCCATTTAGATTAAAATTTTCAATTTATTCATAAGATTAACCATGATAGAAAAGAAGAAACTTTAAAATTTTAAAATCACTATCATGGTTAAAAGAAATAAACATATATCATGAGCAATGTCAATAAGTAACTTGGGCTTTGGACTTTCAAAGTCCAGGAATATCATTCAACCCTTAGGCCAAATAAAACTCATACTTTCAAATGAATGTCATGTGCAAAGTCTTAAAGGCCTCTGGCTTCTTAACAGTCATCTTATCAATTAGTAGTAATCAAATGTATTAGTTTACAACATCAAAGTAGATGAGTGATATATGGCAATATATAATAAAATAGCACATAAGACAAAATAAGAGAGGCTATACAAGAAAAACGTGATAGCTAAGCCTCCGCCATCTTCCCTGACGTACCAACCTTAGAGCTATTACCTGAAAATGCTAAACCATAGGGGTGAGACAAACATCTCAATAACTAACTTTCCAACTCATCATACTTACTAACATGGGCTCGTGAGGTGTCAAGTGAGACAATTATTAATTCTCGAGAAATATAAATATATCCATAGAAATATAATTTTAATAATCCAAACCCTCACTATGGGGCTAACACACAAGCCATATAAGTCTATCCCTCACTATAGAGGATCAATCAGACATATAGGCCTATCCCCTCACTTTGGGGGATGAATAAGAAGCCACAAAGGCTTATTCCTCACTATGGGGAAAGAAGGAAGAAGCCAACCAATGTGCACCAATAGTAACCTTACCATGTGGTAGGATAGAGCTCAATCTAAAATCCAAATAACAACCAATCATTTACAATATAACGAAAAATGTCTCAATCTTTTCTCAGTATAATCCATAAGATATAAATTATATATCTTTTCCAAACTTCTCAATCACAATTCTAAAAATCCCGCAAGACAATTTTCATAGCTCAAAAGATATAATATATCTACTCGAATTCCAAATAACAAATATTATTCAAAAATAGGAAAATACTCACAAACAACATATTAGCACATATAACAAGTAGAAAGTGGTTACTCCTCCCCAAAGTAATAGAAGGATTACCACGAGATCAATCCTTTGTTCAACCAATAATTAATCTATATAATTAATATAACCACATATTAATATAAACTAATTAATTAATTAATTAAGCTTATATATTAGTTAAATTCGTAATTTAATTTAATTTTCATTCTAAATTTTCACAATTCTTATAACCTAAAATTAAGTACTTTAGAACTAACTGATAATTTTCTAACAAGCCAAATTATTTATTTACATCCTTCAACTTATTTACTTTAATAAAAAGAATTTTTTAAAATTTCTAGATATGAAATTATTATATTCTAAATTCTAAAAATCTCATTTGAAATTTAAACTTCAAAACCAAACCATCAAAAATTCAATAGTGTCTCAAATATTTATATATATAAATGATCTAATCAAAATTTTAATGGCACATATATATTTTTGTAAATAATAAACTTTAACTACAATAATTATTTTAAAACCTCTAGTCACCCAATAAATAAAACTAAAAGATTAAAATTTTAATAATATGTCAAACAACCCAAATAAATTATTTAACTTAATTTTAATCTGTATAAATATGATATATCTCACAAATAACGTATTTTTTAGTTAAAAATTAATTTTTAAATACTAAAATCAACAAATGGACAAAACTAAATCGGTAAAATGATCTACTATAATAGATCTACAATACTGTCTTTAACACTCATCAAAACTAAATACTTACTCGAAACTCTATACCAAAAATTTTCTCTAAGCAACACAAAATTACTATTGTTAGATAGATCTGATTCAGTAGAATAATTTTTATGAAGGAAGTTTTGTAATTAGAAGTAGTTTTACTTACTAAAATAATCTGTAACGATGGAGAAAGAAACAACTGGGAGAGAGCGACGCTGCAAGCCACAACCTACAGAGAGAGAGAGAAGGAGAAGAGAAAAACAAACGGGGGAGAAGGTTAAAAGAAAACACTTGGGATAAACTGAAGTTAAAAACCCTAAGTAAAATGAAAAAAATAATAGTTTTAACCCCTTTTTTAAATTTTTTAAATATTCAAATCTTTGGAGTAGAATTTAAGATGTTACAGAAAATACTCTCAGGATCCCTCTTTCTAGCTCTTATATTAAGAACAATTATTAGGATCAAATTATTTTTCACACGTGAAAATAATATACGAATAAAACGTAAAATTAAAAGCTAAATGATGTGAAATAAGACAGAAATCAGAAAGAGGATACTCTCTCCATCCTTTTTTATAAGCAACCTTGAACTAAATCATGTAGATCAAAAAGTTAGTTAATATTAGTTAAAAATAATAAATATGTAAAAATTAATTTTTTTTCAAAATAATCTTATTTATAGAAGAGAGAGTACAAGAAAGAAAATAAAAAAGTCGTTATAATAAAGAGAATTATGAAAGAGAGAGAATGTTAATGGAGAGAGATTATATTAAAATATAATTTTCAGAACATTTATTATCTAGAAAATAAATTTTTTAGAAAACAAAAAAAATTAACTATTAAAATAAGTCTTTTAAAAATAGAAAATTTATTATAAAATTTTGAAAAACTTGTAAATATTGTTTATATTTAGGACATAATTGCTACTACTCCGACTCTATTAGTTGTTTGGAAACACCTAGAAGGATTTTTGAAAAGTACTTTTTTATAAATCAAAACAAATTTTTTTATATATTTATTTTGTAAACCATAAAATCACTTTTGAAATTATAATTTGATTACTCTCTAGATACTCTTTTAATAGGGTGAGAGAAGTTACTTTGTAATAGTTTTCCTTTTTAACGGGATGTTTGGTATTGAAAAAGCAAGCAAAGCAAAAGAACGAAAAGGCAGAGTAGAGGAGAGGAGGTAGGGGATGAAAACTGAAAAGTGAATAGAGGGGAAAAAGCCCCGAAGGTAAAAAAGAAATGATCGAACAAGATCGAGGGCACGCCTTTTTTTCTGTTTCTGTTCTTCTTCTCCTGGAGGTCGCGCTTGAAGCCGAAAGAGGAGACGAAGCCGACGGACAGGGGAGGGAACGCGAAGCTTTCTCGCCGCTCTCAATCTCATCTCCGCCACAACGCCGCTGACAATCGCCTCTTCTCCAGTCCTCCGTTTTGATTCGATCAAGGTACTTTCTATGCTTGTGTCATCTTTGCTCCAACTATCGTCTTGAGCTTGGATTTCACCAGCTATGGCTTTTTCCTCCCTCACTATTTTTTTTCCTGTTGCTGTATTCTGATGTTTATGTCGGTTTTTATTAGCTTCAAGATGAGAGGGTGATTCTTTGTAAATACTTTCTTTTGGGTATATTTCTTATGTTTGATTATTTAATCAGAGCATTTTATCTTAGATTTTTCAATTGGTTAGACTTGAGATAGATTATGGGTTAGATCTTAGCTTTGTCAGGAATTGGATCTTATGCCACATTTAGTGATATTAGAATTGGGGTAAATTAATGCATTAATTAATTGATTGCCTGTGAATACGACATTATAAGTTAGTTAATTCGCAGGCAGTGGACCTTTTTTCCCCCCCAAGTACAGGCACGAGGCACTAATGTAGACACAGAGCACTCAAACCTTGCTTTTTGTAAACCTTCTGTTAGACCCAACTCTCATTGATTTAGTAGACCCTAATTCTCTAGAATAACAGATGCATGGGATTAATAATAGAGAGTAGTAATTACTTACTCTTTATTAAGGGAAGTAATTGGCTTAAGTAGCCTTATCTGTCTACAAAATCAGCACTAACTTTAACTGGACGATCGGACAAGTCCTTATGAGAATTGAGCAGGTTATTCTCCTCATTTTTCATTATCGGAAGAAGTAGAAATTAAAAGAGATGAGGGTTGAAAAATTAGTTACCTTTTATTCAATCAATCAACACATATAATTAGAAATCTTATAACTTGTAAATATAAAAAATAATAATTCAAACACTAGCTCTAGTCCTTAAAAATAATTCCTCTCCCCTATGACAACAAACATAATCCATACACGTAGCATCCACTTAAATATCCTATCTTATTAAAATGATGAAGAATACTAAACTGTAAATGGGATCAATACAAATTAAGCAGATATTATTCCATCTCATAATTACGAATATGGAAAATTAATATTTCTCATTGTTTGCGTCGACTTTGCTACAATAAAGGGGAAGAGTAGAGTCTGGTCTGGAGTGCACGCCACGGCCCTTGAGCAGATATTATTCCATCTCTTTATGACAGCTTAACCGAATGGTCAATGCCATTGACTTAACCGGGTCAATGATCGACTTGACCCACAATGGAGAAGCAATAATTATGGCTAGCTACTTAAGTCAACTAGACCGCAGAATAACTATTCTCCGGTGAAGTTATAAAAATAATGCATGATTCTGAATAAAAAGCAGAAGTCTAAAAGGAAAGCACTCTGCAATGTCTACCAGTTCTCTGGTTTTGCTCTCATTGCTTTCTCATCTTACCATTCTGTGTGCCCAGCTTCCTGGTCCTGACTGGGCATGTACCTATTGTTTCCATGACAGAGGTAACTTTACAAATACAAGTACGTACCAGAGCAACTTTAATATTGTCCTTTCAAATCTCACTTCCAACACAGAAATTGACTATGGCTTCTACAATTTATCTCATGGCCAGCATCCTGATAGAGTAAGCACAATTGGGCTATGTCGAGGAGATATCACACCAGATGAATGCCATGCTTGCCTCAAGAATGCCTCACTTATTCTCCCTATGTCGTGTCCAAATATGAGGGAGGCTATGGCAGGCTCCGACGAGTGCTTTCTCCGACAATCAAACTGCTCAATATTTAGGGTCATGGAATCTAACGCTTCGTGCATATGGTGGAACAGGTATGATACAGCAGAGCAGGACAAGTACAATGAAGTTAGTGGATTATTGGAAGGACTGAGAAGCAAAGCGAAGAATGGAGATTCACTTCTTAAGTATGCAGAAGCATATCAAACGGCTTCAAACTTGCAAAACATATTTGGTGGGGTTCAGTGCACTCCTGATTTGTCTCAGCAAGATTGCTCTGACTGCTTGAAGACCGCTATCTCTGAACTTCCCAATTGTTGTTTCGCAAAGAGAGGTGGTAGGGTTATCAAACCCAGCTGCAATGTTAGGTATGAGAACTACCGTTTCTTTGGTCCCATGGCTGAGGATTCACCACCGCTGCCGCCGTCTCCTCTTTCCCCTCCAACGACGTCCACCTCAAAAGGTATCCAAGTAAAACAGGTCTAAAAAAAATTTTGGCCGGAAAAATTTACCTTTAAGCTATTACTTTTTAGTAGAAAATTCCAGTAAAAGTCTTACTTAGGTGGTTTTCCCTCTATTTTAGTGTAGGAGTGCCTCAATGAGCGTATATATGTTTGGCTTTTTCGGGGCATAGTAGACAGTCAATCATTACTAGCATTGCCATTGTTCTGCAATCATCCTAGTGCTCATCTGTGTCTTCAGCATTTGTTGGAGAATGAGGAAAGGCAGAGAAGCAGTTCAAAGTAAGTCGAATTAAAGATCTCTTCAGCAGCTCAGGTAATTTGCAATTTCAAAAAGAAAAATATTTTGAAAGCTAATCTGTTTGAAATTATTCACAGCGGAAGCAGAACTTGATGGTCAAATTGAATTTCTTGAGTCATTACAATTAGATTTTGAAACCATCAGAACTGCAACAGATAAATTTTCTGATGCAAATAAACTAGGACAAGTTGGATTTGGACCAGTTTATAAGGTAGAATAATAACAATGTCAGGATAAATAGATTAATGTCACCACTCTGGAAAATCATTTATACTAAGGTATAGTTTCGAACTTTTGACAATTGCAGGGTAAGCTCCATAATGGAGAAGTTGCTGTCAAAAGGTTATCCAACAATTCTGGGCAAGGAGATATAGAATTTAAGAGTGAAGTAAAGTTGGTGGCTAAGCTTCAGCATCGCAATTTGGCTAGACTCCTTGGTTTCTGTTTGGAAAGAGGAGAAAGACTTCTCATCTATGAGTTTCTTCCCAATAAAAGTCTTGACTACCTGTTATTTGGCAAGTTACAAGTGCTTTCATATCAAGAAAAAACTTGCATGTTCTTTAACTTAACTAATCTCTATATTATCTCTCTCTATTTTAAGTTAACTGTAATGATCGATAGAAGATTACACCCATTAATATTAAATTGGTTCTTTTGGTTTCAGGTGGAAAAACCAATACACACACCCTTGTGCGCACATATATATATATTTATTATTATCATTTAATATTAATTATTAGGACAAGTGGCGATCAAGATGTGAACATGTAATCACTCATCATTAAGTACAAGATAGCATGTTAGTTTTCATTTCACAGAAAATTTTTACCACATACCGATCATATCAATATGAAATTGTAGATCCTCAGCTAAATTGGGAGACTCATCACAAAATTATTATAGGTGTAGCTCGTGGCCTTCATTACTTTCATGAAGATTCTCAACTACGAATTATTCATCGTGACCTCAAAGTAAGTAATATTTTTTTAGATGTATAATTAAATCCCAAGATATTTGATTTTGGAATGGCAAGATTATTTGTTGTGGATCAATCTCAAAGTAACACTAGTGAAATTGTTGGAACTTGGTAAGTATAATATATATCAACAACATATCAAAATAAAACATAAATTCTAAGGGGCATGCAACAATAATCTTTTCTAATTAAACTATTTCATGTTGACATGCAGTGGATATATGGTTCTAAAGTAGGCAATGTGTGGACAGTTCTCAATGAAATCAGATGTCTTTAGTTTCAGTGGGCTAATCCTAGAGATTATAAGTGGAAATCCACCGAGCTTTGTGAGTCTTTGCCCTTTTTGAAACATACACAAGCTAGCGCATGCACATAAACTCACATCATGAAACAGCAAAATTGTACACTAAGCTACTATTGACGAGGAAATTCTTGTAGGCATGGAAAAACTGGAGAGGAGGGACAACCTTAAATATAGTAGGTCCTGTATTAAACAATGATTCAAACAATGAAATAAAGAGATGCATCCACATTAGGTTACTGTGCGTTCAGGAAAACCTAGCTGATAGGCCAACCATGGCTTCAGTTGCTCTAATGCTTGATAGCCACTCTATAACTCTCTCAGTACCATCAAAACCTCCATTTTTAATGTGTAAGAGAAACTTACCAGAGATGAACTCGAGGGAGAATAGTTCATCAGGGGTTAGAAGATTAGGTGGAGACACTACAAAAAAACAGCTGATTAGCGATGGAATTTGCGACGGAAAAAAATTCCGTGGCAAATTAGCAATGGAAACAAATTCCGTCGCTAATTTTTGACGGAATTGCAACGGAAATTCCGTCGCTAATTTTTTCAACAGATTAGCGAAGGAATTTCTGTCCGTTACTACATTCCGTCACTAATCTGTCAGAAAAACCGTCAATAAAATTTAGCAACAGAATCTTTTCCGTCAGAAAATTCTGTCACTAATTCCGTCGCTAATCCGTCAAAAAAAATTAGCGACGGAAATTCCGTCGCAATTCCGTCAAAAATTAGCGACGGAATTTGTTTCCAAAGCAAATTCCGTCACAAATTTTAAGAAAATAAATTACATAGGATATATATACAAGTAGGAGAATACTGTTTATCATAATCTATTTAAATCATTTAATTTTTTATATAGAATAGCTTATTAGATTTTATTATAGTAGTTATTTTTTAAATAACAAGATTTTTTGACTAATAGTAAATGATTTTCTTCAAATATATAAAACACATATACATAATATAATATAATGTAATATAATATATATATATATAATATTAAATTGTATATCTTATCAATGTTAATTAAAAAGTAAATTTAAAAAATATTTATAAAAAATTATTTATGATTTAAAATTCAAAATTAGTGTCGTTAGAAATTAAAATTACATTAAAAATATTTTTTAAAAAATAAAACATTATAAAAATAGTAAACAAATATTTAAAAATTATTTTTTCATTAAAATAATTATGATTAAAATTATCATATAGCATATTTTTAGTTTTTAATAATATATATGTATATATAATTGTTTGTGTAAAATAATACAATATATATTTAATTTTACATAATAAATCAATAGGTTCATTGCAACTGAATTGGTAAAGCCGCACGTGTGCACGGAGGAGATCCTAGGTTCAAACCATAGAGAAGTCACTTTGAGGAGGGAATTATGCGGTGGTGACATGTGACGCACACGTGGCAGGCAGAGGTTAGGTGGCAGGCACATGTGGTAGATAGAGGTGTGACACGTGGTGCACACGTGGCAGGTGGAGGTGAGGTGGCAATGACATGTGGAAGTGGTCCCCAATGATGACGTGGCAATTAGTAGAGGTGCCACGTGGCATTTTATTTTATTTTTTAAAAAATTGAATTAGTGATGGAAAAATTCAGTAGGTAATTAGCGACGGAAAATCCGTCGCTAATCAATTAGTGATAAAGGAATTAGTGACGGAACAAATTCCGTTGATAATTTCATCACTAATCCGTTTCTGTCGCTAATTCCGTCGTCAAATAAAAAATTTCGTCGCTAAATTCTGTTGCTAAAATCATGTTTTTTTGTAGTGAGAAGGAAGAGACTATGTTGAAGCCTCATCAAATGAAGTCACAATAACTGAGCTTCATCCTCGCTAAATTTTAGCTTGCAAGTGAAATTCCAATATTAGTTTTAATGTGCAGATTACTTTAGTGGAAATGAAAGCTAGCAGTTCACCTAAAGATAAGCAGGCTGTATATTGATGCAGAGATTTTACTTCTCAAAAATAAAATTATTAATTGCGGACTTTTCCCCAATTTTTTCTATCTAACATCTCTTGTAATTGCTTATTTATAAGAAAAAAATGAGTGTTTTCAGTGTAAATGAGGCTATGTATGACCCATTTCTCCCTCTGTGTGAAAGATAGGTTAGGTTTGTCCAACTTGATTTAATCCGAACTAGTCCAAGTTAAAGCTCACTTAATTTCCAAACTTGCGTGTGGATGGGAACCCATATATACTTGGGTAGAGGTAGTGTTGTCAATGAATGAACACATTTTTATATGTTCCTTTTAAAAAGTTTCTCTACATACACTCAATTTTCTTGAACTTGCAGTAGATTTAATTAGACGTGATTTCAACAGTTATATTTCCTGCTTTGTAAGGAGCTTCTTAAATAGCTGGATGAAAAGTTATTCATGTATTGATAAAAGATTAGGTTTTTGTTTATATCAACTTCTATAAATCATGTTTTTTTTTGTTAATAAAAAAAGTTTATATGAGTTGCGTCTTAGGAGTTTACCAGGGTCAAAGCGTGCTTCTAGCTTTTAAGCTTAGAGAGTACTTATAGAGGTACTTAAAAATTGTTCACTAACAAAATTTTCACACTGGCAGCAGAATTCAAACTTATGATCTTATGGGTGGTGAGTGGATTCCTTACCCAACCAAACCAACTTTTGTTAGTTATAAATCAAGTTTTATTTTATTGATTAAAACTCTTATGCTATAAGCCGTATGAGAATGAGGCTAACTCAGAGGTCAAGGGTGCGTGGGAGATGAAGGATTCAAACCTTTTTAATGTGTTAAAAAAAACTCATGCTATATCGATGCATTATAAACATAAGCCCAATTTTGGGACTCCCACTGACACAGTGGAGCTTGTATCTAGTCTTCTAAGGACAAATAACAATTAATAAATTGGCGTTTGAACACACTTTTTCTTCCCCAACCAATTTGAACACAGACATAGATGCATAGACCTTAAATTCTTGTGTAGCAGCTCATGCCTTTAGAATAAAAAAGAGACCAAGACTTTAGTCTTTGAAACCAGACGTGAGAAAAACTTCAAAGACTTAATTGCGTTAAAGCTGTGGCTGGAGATTCACTTGGCAAGTACGAAGAATGAAACCCAAAGACACAATTCAAAGCAAGTCAAATTAATATAATGCTCTATATATCCAGCAATTCTTGTGATAAACTATTTCAAACGGAAGTTAATTTTTATGACTACGCTTCGGGTTCTATTAATTATAAGGCAGAAAGAAAATCTTTTTTGGTCTTATTTATAAGTTACTTCATTAAATTTTTAGCGTAAATATACTATTTCGTCCTTCATTTGTTGTAGTGCAGATAGTTATCTTTTTTGATAGATGCATATATTAAATAGGGGTAAAAATGGGGAAGTTGTTATATTTTAATAAATAGTCAATGCATTTTAAGATTTTTTTTAGTCTGTAAAATATATTAGAAGTGTCTTGTAAATAGGACTTGAAAAGCACGTACTAAATTTGTTTGAAGATTCCTTTCCAGAAGCTGAATCAATAGTGGAATTAAACCTACTGAGATAACACAATTTGACTTTGACACTATCAAACTAACAACAGATAATTTCTCTGATGCAAATAAACTTGGACAAGATGGATTTGGAACAGTCTACAAGGTACAAACAATGTGAGTACGAGACAAAGTTCACCACCTTGGACACGCTAAGGTAACTTCCAACTTTGATAAATGCCGGGTGAGCTCTATAATGGAGAAGAAGTTGCAGTTAAAAGGTTATCCAAGAATTCTGGGCAGGGTGATGGAGAGTTTTTTTTACCAGCAGGGTGATGGAGAGTTTAAGAATGAAGTAATGTTGGTTGCCAAACTTGGGCATGGCTAGTTAGACCCCTTGGCTTCTGTTTGGAAAGAGGAGAAAGACTACTCGTGTATGAGTTTCTTCCCAGTGAAAATCTTAGACTGCTTATTATTTGGTAAGTTACACATAGATCTTTCTATTTTTCTTTTGAAAAAGGTTATAAATGCTTGAGCTTTATTAATGTGTATTATATCTCTCACTTAAAATTAATTGAATGAATTATAAAGGATTATATATATTTATCAGTTTTATTAGGTCTTTGGGTTTGAGTTGTCCGCAAACACACACATTTAGGTGTATCTTCATCAAATTTAATTTAAAATAAAAGGACAAGAGGAAATAGAGATACAAATTTGTAATCACTATGTTTATTCAGTACAATTCATTTTACTGCAAAATATTTGCTGTATGGAATTCTAAGACGATACATGTGGGGCTGTAGATCCGACAGGTGGTGCTCATTTAAATTGGGAGACACGCGTAGCTCATGGCCTTCTTGATTCTTGATTTCGAATCATTTATCGTGATCTCAAAATAAATAATATTCGTTTAGGTAAAGAGTTAAATTGTAAGATATCAGATTTTTGTATAACAAGACTATTTACTGCATATCAAAATCAAAAGGAGACAAATAGAATTGTTAGAATCTAGTAAATATTATACACGGCAACCTATTATGAAAATAAGAAAAGATATTATTATTTCCAATCTTAATTATAAGACTTTGTTTATAGACTATAAATAAAATCTTATAATTAGGAGAGAAGGTAGTATTATAGTATGAATATCAATATATACATATTTTAATTAAACTTGTTCATATTGACATACAAAAGATATATGACTTCAAAATGCGCATTGTATGGATAATTCTAAACCAAATAAGATGTTTCTAGTTTCGGGTGCTAATTTTAGAGAGTGTAAGCGGGAAGCTGATAAAAAAAAAAAAATAGCGTAAGCGGGAAGAAAAACAATAATATATTTAATGAAGATATCCTCGGTCTTCTAGACTCTGCAAGTCTTTGCTCTTTCGAAATTTATGAACATTGCATAGTGCTAACTATGGCCTCAGTTGTAGTAATGCTGAGCAGTCACTTTTTCTCTCTCCCATTAGCTTCGGAACCTTCGTATTTGGTGAATACAGCAATTCAACTGAGACGCATTTGAAGGAACATGCTACTTCCGGTTCTTAATATAAAATCTTATTTGACTTTTATTTTGATTTTAAATATAAGGTCCCAATTTACTTTGTCTCTCATATTTATGTATTTTTTTCCAATATAGTTCTTCTGACAATAGTAGTTCTAACAAATCACTTGATTAGTAAGGATATTTTAGAAAAAACAACATCTATTTATTACAAATAAATAATTTAATTTTTTTTAATCTTTTCAAATTAGTCAACTAACTCTTATAATTAGGACCGGAGATAATGGGCAACAACATCAAGTGTTGAAGGAGAAAGCACCTCTGTTCAAGAGTCAATATATATGAGGTCTCAATTACTCAGCTTTACCCTCCATAAATTTAGCCTTGGATGTGACACACATTCAATATACATGAATATTTTTAATCTGCAAATCATCCAGGAAAAGAGAAAACATAAAAATAATAATAAAAAAAATGGATTGTAGTTCACCTAGAAATAAAAACGACTGTCGATCTATTATTGCCTAGAAGTTTTTGCGCACAGGCTTGAAAAAGGTTTGAACTCCATAAATAATATGTCAAATATAATGTTTCCTTTTTGACGCAAGGTTCCTGTCAAATTCCTAGAACTAGTAGTACGGCTCCTATTTGTTTTTGGCTGCATTTTTTAGGAGAAATTACTAATAGAGATCAAAGAAAAATCTTAATCATTAAAAAGTTCTAATAACCAGAGAAGTAATTAATTAGTAGGCTTGTTAGTGGACCCCACCAGTAAGTATAATGACAACGTACGCGAACGTGATTAACGGCATGCCATTGACGTAACCGGGTCAATGATTGACTTGACCCGTAACATAGAAGCAAAAATTTTGGCCAGCTTATGTCAACTAGACCGGAGAATAACTATCCTGGGGTGAAATTATAAAAATAATGCGTGATCCTGAGTAAAAAGCACTTTTCAATGGCTGCGATTTCTCTGGTTCTGCTTTTATTCCTTTCTCATCATCTCATCATTCTCACTGCCCAGCTTCCTGAGTTGAGATCTATCTACTGTTTCCATAGCAGAGGTAACTTTACAAATTCGAGTACGTACCAAACCAACCTTAACATCGTCCTTTCAGATCTCACTTCCAACACAGCAATTGACTATGGCTTCTACAATTTGTCTCATGGCCAGTATCCTTATAGAGTCAGCGCAATTGGGTTATGTCGAGGAGATATTAAACCAAATGAATGCCGTTCTTGTCTCAAGAATGCCTCAGTTCTTGTCCCTATGTTGTGTCCGAATATGAAGGAGGCTATGGGAGGCTACGACGAATGCTTTCTCCGATACTCAAACCGCTCAATATTTGGGGTCATGGAATCTGACGCTTCATTCATATTGTGGAACAAGTATGATACAACAGATCAGGACAAGTACAACGAAGTGGTTAGTGAGTTGTTGGAAGGACTGAGAAGCAAAGCTAAGAATGGAGATTCACTTCGTAAATATGCAGAAGCAAATCAAGCGGGTCCAAACTTTTACACCATATACGGTGCAGTTCAGTGCACTCCTGATTTGTCTCAGCAAGATTGCTCCGACTGCTTGAAGACGGCTATCTCTGAACTTCCCGGTTGTTGTTTCACAAAGAGAGGTGGCAGGGTTATCAAACCCAGCTGCAACGTCAGGTACGAGAACTACCGTTTCTTTGGTCCTGTGGCTGAGCATTCACCACTGCCGCCGCCGTCTCCTATTTCCCCTCCGAGGACACCCACCTCAAAAGGTATCCATATAAACTTGTTGGCCTGAAAAATTTTTGGCCGGAAAAACTTACCTTCAAGCTATTACTTTGGGTAGAAAATTCCAGTTGAAGTCTTATTTCGGTGGTTTTTCCTCTATTTTAGTGAAGGAATGCCTCAATGAGCATATGTATGTTTGGCTATTTCAGGGCATAGCCGAAAATCAATCAAGACTATCATTGCCATAGTTTTGCCAACTGTTGCAACCATCTTACTGCTCATCTCTGTCTTCAGTATTATTTGTTTGAGAATGAGGAAAACCAGGGACGCAATTCAGAGTAAGTCAAATTAAAGATCTCCTTGGCAGCTCAGGTAATATGCACTTTCAAAAGAAAATACTTATTTTGAAAGCTAATATGTTTGAATTCCTTCGCAGAGGAAGCAGAACTTGATGATGAAACTGAATTTATTGAGTCATTACAGTTAGATTTTGAAACCATCAGAACTGCAACAGATAATTTCTCTGATGCAAATAAACTTGGACAAGGTGGATTTGGACCAGTTTATAAGGTAGAACAATAACAAAGTCAGGATGAATAGATGAAACTCACTGCTTTGTGGAAAATGATTCATGCTAAAATATAGTTTCCAACTTCTGATAACTGCAGGGTAAGCTCCATAATGGAGAAGAAGTTGCTGTCAAAAGGTTATCCAAGAATTCTGGGCAAGGAGACATAGAATTTAAGAATGAAGTAAAGTTGATGGCTAAGCTTCAGCATCGCAATTTAGCTAGACTCCGTGGCTTCTGTTTGGAAAGAGAAGAAAGACTTCTCATCTATGAGTTTCTTCCCAATAAAAGTCTTGACTACTTATTATTTGGTAAGTTACAAGTGCTTTCATATCGAGAAAAAACTTAATGTTCTTTAGCTTAATTAGTTTCTATATTATCTCTCTCAATTTTAAGTTAAACTGAATGATCGATGAAAGATTACATCCATTATCTTAGTTCTTTGGGTTTCAGGTATAAAGACCAATACACACACCCATGCACACACGCATGTATATTTATCGTTATCATGAAGTTTAATATTAATTATAAGGACAAGAGGCGATGAAGATACGAACACGTAATCACTCAGATTTTAAGGACAAGAGAGCATGTTAGTTTTCATTTCACAGAGAATTTTTTCCACATCAAGTCCTGAGATCATATCAATATGAAATTGTAGATCCAAATCATCGTGCTCAACTGAATTGGGAGATGCGTCACAAAATTATCATGGGCGTAGCTCGTGGCCTTCATTATCTCCATCAAGATTCCCAGCTACGAATTATTCATCGTGATCTCAAAGCAAGTAATATTCTTTTAGATGCAGAGTTGAATCCCAAGATATCTGATTTTGGCATGGCAAGATTATTTGCTATGGATCAATCTCAAAGTAACACTAGTAGAATTGTTGGAACTTAGTAAGTACAACATGTCTCAACAACACATCAAAATAAAACAAACTTTGAGAAGCATGCAACAACAATATTTTTTAATTAAACTTTTTCATGTTGACATATACAGTGGATATATGGCTCCAGAGTATGCAATGCGTGGGCAATTCTCAATCAAATCAGATGTCTTTAGTTTCGGTGTGCTAATCCTAGAGATTATATGTGGGAAGAAAAACAACAGCATCTTTCATGAAGAGAATATACTGAATCTACTGAGCTTTGTAAGTCTTTGGCCTTATTGAAGCACAGACAATGTGACTCATGCACATAAACACACATCATGAAACAGCAAAATTGTATACTAAAGTTAACTACTGTTGACGAGGAAATTCTTGTAGGTATGGAAAAACTGGAGAGAAGGGACAACCTCAAATATAGTAGATCCTGTATTAAACAATGCGTCAAGCAATGAAATAAAGAGATGCATCCATATTGGGTTGCTATGCGTTCAGGAAAATGTAGCTGATAGGCCAACCATGGCTTCAGTTGCTCTAATGCTTGATAGCCACTCTATAACTCTCTCAGTACCATCCGAACCTCCATTTTTAATGTATAACAGAAGCTTACCAGAAACGAATTCTGGGGAGAATAATTCATCAGGGGCCACAAGATCAGCTGAAGGAGGAAGAGACTATGTTGAAGCCTCAACAAATGAAGTCACAATAACTGAGCTTCATCCTCGCTAAATTTTACCTTGCAGGTGAAATTCAAAGATCAGTTTTAATGTGCCGATTACACTACTGGAAATGAAAGCTTGTAATTCAGCTAGAAATAAACAGGCCGTACATTGATGCAGAAATTTTACTTTTCAAAAACAAAATTATTAATGGACTTTTCCCCATTTTTTCCCATTTAAGATCTTTTGTAATTGTATATTTGTAAGAAACATTGAGTGTTTTCAGCGGTTTGGCTCACATAATTTGATCTCTAGGCCCTGTAACCAAATGAGGTCTTGTATTACCCAGTTCTCTCTGAGTGAAAGATAGATTGCGTTTGGGTTTGTCCAACTTGATTTAATCTTTTGGTTTTTTTTTTTTTTGGTGACAAGTGAAACTTGATTTAGTCTGAACGGGTCTGAGTTAACTCACTTAATTTCCACAGCTGGGTGTGGAGGTAGTGTTGTCAATGAATGAACACATTTTTATATGTTCCTTTTAAAATGTTTCTCTATATATACTCAATTTCCTTGAACTTGCAGTAGATTTAATTATGAGTGATTTCAACAGTTACGTTTCCTGCTTTGTAACGAACTTCTTAAATATCCAGATGAAAAATTAGTCCTGTCATCAATAAAAGATTAGGTTTTTGTTTATATCAACTTCTATAAATCAAGTTTTGTTTTATTAATTAAAACATATGCTATGAGCCATCTGAGGGTAGCTCAGGGGGCAAGGGTGGGGCGGCTGTTAAGCGGGGTCAAGGATTCAAACCTTTTTAATGTGTAAAAGAAATTCATCCATTGCGAGTATAAGCCCAATTTTGAGACTCCCACTGACACAGTCCGGCTTATATCTGGTCTTTTGAGGACAGATAATAATTAATCATGTGAACACAGGCTTAGTTGCATAGACTGTAAATTCTTGTGTAGCAGCTCATGCCTTTAGAATAAAAAAAGAGACCAAGACTTTAGTCGTTGAAACCAGACGTGAGAAAAACTTCAAAGACTTAATTAATTGCGTTTGGACCACCTTAGTTAACAGGGACCAGATACGCATAGCGTGGTCACACCAATTTTCAATTATGTGTCAGTATTACAAGGTTATAATTTTTTTGTAAGCATAACTATCCTATTATGCAAGAAAATCTTATTGAAGGTATTATTGGATATTAAACATATCACATTTTTCAGTGGGAATTCCAACCTTAAGACTAGTTACTCCTATTAGACCAACAAACGTTATTATCATGTCTTGAAGTTCATTCTTCACCAATCCGTATGATTCGCAATGTCGGTAATAATTTCTTTGCTTCTGCTTTCATTCCTTTCTCGTCTTCTCATTCTCACCGCCCATATCACTTCAACTCTTGTTTCCCACAGAAATATCACTATACAAATTCAAGCACCTACCAAACCAACCTCAATATCTTTAAGCTCTCACTTCCAACACAGAAATTGACTATGGCTTCTACAATTTGTCTCTTGGCCAAAATCCTGATAGAGTCAGCACCATTGGGTTATGTAGAGGAGATGTTGAACCAATCAAATGCCTTACTTGCCTCAAGAATGCCTCAGTTGTTGGCCTAAATAATGTCCAAGTCAGAAGGAGGCAATGGGAGGCTGTGATAAATGCTTTCTACGATACTCAAACAGATCAGTAATGGGGATCCTGGACGAACCTGAGTTTTGGCTCCATTAATGGACTGGTGGGAATAACGCAACAGATCCTGTAAAGTACAACCAAGCGGTCAAGGAGTTCTGGGAAAAGCTAAGAGTTAAAGCTGTGACTGGAGATTCACTTCGCAAGCATGCTGCAGCAAATAAATTGGGCCCAAAATCTCAAACTATATATATATATATATATATATATATATATGGTGCGCTTCAGTGCAATGTGAGTACGAGACAAAGTTCACCACTTTGGAGATGCTAAGGTAGCTTCCAACTTTGATAAATACAGGGTGAGCTCTGTAATGGAGAAGAAGTGGCAGTTAAAAGGTTATCCAAGAATTCTGGGCAGCGAGATCGAGAGTTTAAGAATGAAGAAATGTTGGTTGCCAAGATTCAGCATCGCAAGCTGGTTAGACTCCTTGCCTTCTGTTTCTTCCCAGTAAAGGTCTTGGGAAGAAGATATATATAGATGCTTCTATTTTTCCTCTGAAAAAATTCTAAATGTTTTAGCTTTATTAATAATTTGTATTCTGTCTCTCTCATTTAAGTTTAATTGAATAAATTATAAAGGACTATACCAGTTTTATCAGTTCTTCAGGTTTTAGCTAGGTGTAAACAAATATATGTGGTTATTCTGCACAATTTATTTTATTATAAAATATATATTTGCTATATGGAATTCTAAGATCAAATCTGTGGGGTTGTAGATGCAAATCGGAATGCTCACCTAAATTGGGAGATACATCACAGAATCATCATAGGTGTAGCCGATGGTCTTCTTTATCTTCATGAGGATTTTTGACTTTGAATCATTCATCATGATCTCAAAATAAGTAATATTATCAGATTTTGGTATGACAGTTTGCCGTGGATCAAACTTAAAGTGTGACAAGCAGAATTGTTAGAACCTAAATAAGTATTGTACACCACAACAACTTATGAAAATAAGAGAGAAACTTGAATATTGCTATAGTATGAATATCAATATATATATTTTCAACTAATATTGCTTGTATTAATATAAAGTGGATATATAGCTCCAGAATATGTAATGAATGAACAATTCTCAAACAAATAAGATGTTTTTAGTTTCAGGATGCTAATTCTACAGATTGTAAGTGGGGAAAAAAAAAAAGAGTATGTATCTTTAATGGAGATATCCTCGGCACACTAGACTTTGTAACTTGTAAGTCTTTGCTCTTTCGAAATTTATGAATATTGCATATTGCTTACTAAAATTAACGTATTTATGAGGACATTCTTGTAGGCAGCATGGCAAAACTGGAGGAAAGGGATCGGATGAGCCCAAATATAATAGATCCTGTGTTAGTCAATGGTTCAAGAAATGAAATAATGAGATGCATTAACGTTGGGTTGCTATGTGTTCAGGAAAATGTAGCTGATGGGCCAACTATGACTTCAGTTGCAGTAATATGCTGAGCAGCCACTCTGTGTCTCTCCCAGTCCCATCAAAACCTCCATTTTTAATGAATAGCAGCAGTTCAACTAATTGAGAAGTTTTTGAAGGATTCTAGTTCACCAGGGGCTAAAAGATCAACTGGTGGAGGAAAAAACGCTGTTCGATCGTCAAAAAATGAGGTCCCCATCAATCGTCTAAGATTCTGCTTTCGTAGCTAGCAACTCCTTAAAACAACACATTAACTTAGAACGGTCATAATTCTCTGTTCTTCTTTTTCCATAACATCAACCTCTTACAACTGCAAAAGCATTAGGTGTTTCTTATTCTCAACTTCTTGCAATATCATATGCGGTCTCTGATCCTTCATACATACATAATTCTAAGTCCACATATCTATACAAAGCTCATAATTCCACGTACATAACTTAGGAAGTGTTTGGATGGAAACTAAACTATAGTTTCAAAAATATTTTTATGGTTCATGAAGTAAATATGTAGAAAAGTTTGACTTATTTTGCAAAAAAGTGCTTTTTAAAAGCACTTGCCAAACACCCCCTTAAACACACATATATTCCACACATCACGCGTAACTCTAAGGCTCTTAAAACGAACTCTAAAAGCCTTTAATTAATTAAAAATTACTAACTATCATAGAAGGCGTAATGTTCATATCTAAGAAAGCAGCTCAGTTTGATAATCCTTCCACCAGTCTTGTTCTCCGAACAATCTGGGATTTCCGACACAGCTTTCGACAAGCAGTCTGTGCAATCTTGTCTGGACAAATATGGCGTGCACTGAGCAAGACCATAAATAGTTGAAAGTCGAGTTCTCATGTTTCCCGCAGCGTACTTACGCTGAGACTCAACAGCTGAAGTAGTGTTTCCTAGACTTTTCAAAAAACCATCAAGCGGACCGTGGTACATGTCTGGATCCGGGTCATTATTTGGGTTCGCCATGCAGAAGGAGAACTCAGGATTCTCGTATATCCCAACCATTGAATGACTTGAATATCGTAAAATGCAAAGTTCATCGTACAAAACTGCCTTCCTCTGGTTTAGACATAGATTTGGGAGAAGCTTCGCGGCATTGTTGAGGCAACTCTGGCAAGAATCTGGATTCACATCTCCTCTGCAGTACCCAAGTGCATGAACCGTGTAGGGATCTTTGCCCTGAGAAGCATTGTAGAAACTAAAGTCATCGACGTCGTCTGTGGCCGAAGTGAGATTAGAAAGAAGGACATTGAGGTTCGTGCGGTAGGGAGATGTCTTTGAGTAGTAACCATTGTCAGTGAAACATTCGTGAATTTCAGCGGTGAGAATGACAAGATGACAGAGGAATGAAACAAGAGCCAAAGAAATGACGACAGACGAAGAAGTTGTCATCATCATTGAGCTGATCGAAGTGTGAGGCAGAATATATATTCTGAAACGGATTTATATAGTACACATGTAGCAATACAATGGTCAAGTGGCAGGCTCATTAATTGCTCATAATTCTAGCTAGCTTGCATATTCGATTTCGTTGATTTGTCGTAGCTTCCCATGATATATAGACCAACATTAGTGTCCATCATTGAAATGGGATTATGAATGGCCACCACGCCTGCCTGGTATTGGGTCGTTTTTCGTCATTCGTAATGCAGAAACGCTCAAGTGTGGGCTCAAAGAGAGGTTTTGGCCCCTCAATATCAAATGCGCACTCAGAGATATATATATATATATATATATATATCTGAGTGCGCATTTGATCGTAGTGGGAATCATAATTATCTATATATAATCCTCTTGATGATTGCGTTTGAATTCGATTTGGAGGATGATTTTCACTCAAATTCTGAAAATTTGGATCTTTAGGCATATCAGCCATTGAAAGTTAATCCAATAATAAAAAGATTAAATAGAAAGTAAAGTTAGTGAAAGCATTCTTCTTCCCATCAAACTCATATTGTTAATATAATATTACAAATTTCTCTAGTATTAAATGATTTTAATGCATTATTAGTCTGCAAAGTCATACTCTTCTAGAAAAATTTACCTTGTCTTAATGCTGATGATTGCCTGTGACATTTTTTTAAAAAAAATTTATGGTCCAATTTCCACAACAAGATGGAAGATGATTTTCTCATTGATTTGATGATCGTTTTATCGCTAAAAATTAATTTCACAAATATCCCTAATATGCGCTTGAGCGGGGGGAATCATAATTTCTTATATACAATGAATCTTCTTGATGATTATATTGAAATCGATTTCGAGGCTTCGTGGCATTAATCTGTACGTGCGCTTCAGTCCCAAAAAAAAAAACTGTACGTGCGCGTTCCACATCATCCTCGCTTACAAGCTGTTTTGTTTGCCATATTATTTTCACAAGCTTGACTAATTAAATAAAAATAGTAATAATTTAATGATAATACTCCCTCCGCTGATCCTTATTATAAATTTCAAATAACTAATTTGCGGATAAGGAACTGTTAAAAGTAATAAGTAAGTTAAAAATATACTTTTATTTTTAAATATGCCTTTAGAATAAATGAGAAAATTGATAAAAGAGAGGGTATGAGAAAATGTGATAAAAGAAAGTATAGAGTCATAGAGAGAGAAAATAAATAATTAAAAACAAAATAAGAAAAACACATTAAATGTTAAGACAAACATAAATTAAAACTTATAAAATAAACCACACTCTTCTTCAAATTCAAAACTTATATAAATAGAATCAAAAAGAATAATAACTAACGTACTTCTCGATTAGTGGGGTGGATGGAGCCAATGGGGACAAAGGGGCTATAGTCCCCAGAATTTTAATTCTTTTTCTTAGTATATAATGGTATTATTGGAATCTAACATACCACTTTGATTCTTATTATTTATCACTTGTATCTTTTTTAATGTTTCATTTTCAATTTTGCCCATATTGATGAATTATAAAGTGATGAAGAGAGAGGAAATGTGTGAGAGAAAATATACTACCTGTTTAATAAGGAAAAAAGTGAAAGATTTTATTTATTTAATGCTCTCCTTAGTATGTAAGAAACTCCTACAAATAACAAATTAAAAGGATCAGAGTGGTATATAAATGAAGTTAGAAGTAGAATCCAAATTAATCCAAGGACTATAGTCAACAAATAACAATTATGACATCAAGACTTTTATTGAGAAGAAAGAGCCAGTGGCTATTATTATCTTTATTTCAAACAAATATATAGAAACCAAATTATCACTAAAGTGTGATAAAGGCACCGACAAGAAAAGCCGTAGCAATGACAATTCTTGATGTTCTGTTGCTATTTCCGGGAGAAAAAAAATTGGCAATGTTTAGTTTTCCAATTTTAATGTAAAAAACGTGCCAAGCCATATTATTTGGGTTGGAATTCGTACCTTCTAAGGAAGATGACGCTTTTGGTGAGTCAGCATGGGCAACTCCTAAATACGACATCAAAAATTTATTTATTATTGATAATATAATATTAATGACTAATAATTAATCAGCAATGTCATAGACATTATTAATTATAAAACTATACGTTGAGTTCTTAAGTTTTCATATCATCCCTTTAAGCTTCCTGAAAATGCCGGGCACGCTCGGAGTTTTGAAGAACATATTATTAGACACAAGTATATTAGACTTGGGCCAGGCCCACTATCATGAAATTATTGTATTCTGAATTCTAAAAATCTCATTTGAAATTTAAACCTCAAAACCAAACCATAAAAAATTCAATAATGTCTCAAATATTTATATATATAAATGATCTAATCAAAATTTTAATAGCATATATATATTTCCATAAATAATAAACTTTAACTACATAATTATTTTAAAACCTATAGTCACCCAATAAATAAAACTAAACCGATTACAATTTCAATAATATGTCAAACAACCTAAATAAATTATTTAACTTAATTTTAATCCGTATAAATATGATATATCTCATAAATAACGTATTTTTTAATTAAAAATTAATTTTTAAATACTAAAATCAACAAATGGACAAATCTAAACCGGTAAAAATGATCTACTATAATAGATCTACAATACTGTGGTTAACACTCATCAAAACTAAATACTTGCTCGAAACTCTATACCAAAAATTTTCTCTAAGCAACGCAAAATTACTATTGTTAGATAGATCTGATTGAGTAGAATAATTTTCATGAAGGAAGTTTTGTAATTAGAAGTAGTTTTACTTACCAAAATGATCTATAACGATGGAGAAAGAAATAGGAGGGAGAGAGCGACGCTGCAAGCCATAACCCAGAGAGAGAGAAGGAGAAGAGAAGAACAAACGGGGGGAGAAGATTAAAAAAACACTCGGGGTAAACTGAAGTTAAAGACCTTAGGTAAAACGTAAAAAATAATAGTTTGAACCCTTTTTTTTTCTTCAATTTTTTAAATACTCAAATCTTTAGAGTAGAATTTAAGATGTTACATAAAATACTCTTAGGATCCCTCTTTCTAGCTCTCATATTAAGGACAATGATTAGTCTCAAATTATTTTTCACACGTGAAAATAATATACGAATAAAACGTAAAATTAAAAACTAAATAATGTGAAATAAGACGGAAATCAGAAAAAGGATACTCTCTCTATCCTTTTTTATAAGCAATCTTGAACTAAATCATGTTGATCAAAAAGTTAGTTAATACTCCTCCGGTCCTAATTATAAGACCCAATTGACTTATTTGAGGAGATTAAGGAAGTAAGTTAAGTTATATTATAATAAATAAGTGTTGTTATTCCTAAAAAAGTATATAGCTAAACTATCATTATGAAAGATTATCTTGGAAAAAATGCATAAATATAAAAGAGAAAATGGATTGGGTCTTATAATTAGGACCAAATAAAAAGTCAAATTGGGTCTTATAATAAGGACCGGAGGAGTATTAGTTAAAGACAATAAATATGTACAAATTAATTTTTTCAAAATAATCTTATTTATAGAAGAGAGAGTATAGAAAGAAAATAAAAAAGTCGTTATAATAAAGAGAATTATGAAAAGAGAGAATATTAATGGAGAGAGATTATATTAAAATATAATTTTCAGAACATTTATTATCTAGAAAATAAATTTCTTAGAAAACAAAAAAATTAACTATTAAATAAGTCTTTTAAAAAAAAGAAAAGTTATTATAAAAATTTTAAAAAACTTGTAAATACTATTGTTTATATTTAGGAGATGATTGTTACTGCTCTGAATCTATTAGGAGTTTGAAAATACCTAAAAGGATTTTTGAAAAATACCTTTTTGTAAATCAAGATAAATTTTTTTATATATTTATTTCGTAGACCGTAAAATTACTTTTAAAATTATAATTTGGATACTCTCCGTATACTCTTTTAACAGATGTGAGAGAAGTTATTTTTTGTAATAGTTTTCCTTTTTGACGGGATGTTTGGGATTGAAAAAGCAAGCAAAGCAAAAGAACGAAAAGGCAGAGTAGAGGAGAGGAGGTAGGGGCTGAGAACTGAAAAGTGAATAGAGGGGAAAAAGCCCCGAAGGTAAAAAAGAAATGATCGAACAAGATCGAGGGCACGCCTTTTTTTCTGTTTCTGTTCTTCTCCTGGAGGTCGCGCTTGAAGCCGAAAGAGGAGACGAAGCCGACGGACAGGGGAGTGAACGCGAAGCTTTCATTTGATTCTATCGTTGCTCGCCGCTCTCAATCTCATCTCCGCCACAACGCCGCTGACAATCGCCTCTTCTCCAGTCCTCCGTTTTGATTCGATCAAGGTACTTTCTATGCTTGTGTCATCTTTGCTCCAACTATCGTCTTGAGCTTGGATTTCACCAGCTATGGCTTTTTCCTCCCTCACTATTTTTTTTTCCTGTTGCTGTATTCTGATGTTTATGTCGGTTTTTATTAGCTTAAAGATGAGAGGTTGATTCTTTGTAAATACTTTCTTTTGGGTATATTTCTTATGTTTGATTATTTAATCAGAGCATTTTATCTTAGATTTTTCAATTGGTTAGACTTGAGATAGATTATGGGTTAGATCTTAGCTTTGTCAGGAATTGGATCTTATGCCACATTTAGTGATATTGGAATTGGGGTAAATTAATGCATTAATTAATTGATTGCGTGTGAATACGACATTATAAGTTAGTTAATTCGTAGGCAGTGGACCTTCCCTCCCCCACCCCCCAAAGTACAGGCACGAGGCACTAATGTAGACACAGAGCACTCAAACCTTGCTTTTTGTAAACCTTCTGTTAGACCCAACTCTCATTGATTTAGTAGGCCCTAATTCTCTAGAATAACAGATGCATGGTATTAATAATAGAGAGTAGTAATTACTTACTCTTTATTAAGGGAAGTAATTGGCTTAAGTAGCCTTATCTGTCTACAAAATCAGCACTAACTTTAACTGGACGATCGGACA